GCTAAGTCTGTTTGATTACCAAACCTGAGCTTCCCCAGATGTCACTCTGTCACAACACGGCATACTTCAAACACAAAACCCATGCGATGCACTGGTCAAAACCTGCATCAAAGTCTGCGACACATGCCCACTTTGACACGGCGTGGACAGGAGCACCTGTTGGAGCCAGGTTTGACCGCTGGTTGTGTGACAAATTGGATGCTGAATCCATACCGTGATTGACACGTATTCGTTGCATCACGGCTAGAAGAGGAAGCTCTTGGTAGCTGGCAGCGTTTGTTAACCCTTTCACGAGGTGTCAGGGAAATATGGCCGAGACCACTTTGATGGGGAGAATGTTTTGTAAACTAGCGAGGCACTGCTTGTCTAGGTCTGATTTGATCATATATTTTGACATGGGGAAACTTCTGCTCAGGTTAACGCTCCCGTAATATTTAGGAGAAATGGGGGTGACAACTTGTGACCCCAACACTATATAAGAAAAAAAAATGTATACTAGTTAGGGTTAAAGCTACGAAATCACAAAATAAAATTTAACAAGAAATTAAAACTTATCTAATGTGGCTATGTAGCGCCATTAGATTTTAGGCATACAACTTAGGCCCAGTTATCCAAGAAGCCCTGACTCTTAAGATATAAAAGTGATTGTATGCATTCCCCCCCCCCCCCCCCCCCCCCAAAAAAACGGACAAATCTTAAAAGATGTTGATGAATAAAGCATACTAGCCCCCCCCCCCCCCCCCAGATTACAACCATTGTCACTTTCAAACCCAGTTTGTGCGGGGGGGGGGGATAGGTCCTTATTTCCTAACTGTATTTTCTGGGGAGTATTTTCAAAATTGTTATCTAAACTTAACTCTTATACACAGGAAATACGGTGTAAATGTTTTTCTATCTTCCGCAATGGGTTTCGCTTACTCGTCCGACATACCCAAGACAAAAAATCAAAAGGAAATTCTGTGAAAATATTTAATAGAAGGCGAAATATGAAATTTCAAGTATTTATGAGCTACTTTAGACAAATTTAATGTTTAACAAAACATCTATCTTCGTGTTGAAAACAGTATATGATAACTATGTAAATGCAGTATCTTTATGAATCAATTATCAAACACATACGGGTTGTGTTAAATGTTTTACTAACATTTGGAATACACACATTTATTTGTAGCAAGATTAAGAATATTTAAAAACAGATTAAAAAATCTGTGTTGAAATATCTTTTACCCGTTTAAAATATAATTTAAGTCTTTGAAAGCAGGGACGACCAGAAAAATCTGGGTGACCTAACGAGTGAATGACCCGAGTTGGGGAGATGCTTAAAATGGGTTAAACACCGTGATGACAAGGTTGGCCGTTAGCATCACCGGCGGTCATTCAGCTCATACTGACCTGCAGGGATAGATAGGCGAGAAAAAGTTGCCGATTCAGGATTGCCAAACGTAGGCTTGAGTTAAAGAAGTTCATTTATTTGGTATTTACTTTATTTAATTTAACCATGGTTAGTGAGATCAATAAGCTCACAAACCTTATTTAACACAAAAGTACCAGGGTGACTGTAAAAAAAAGGAAAATATTTCAAAATAGCAAATACAATTTGTTATTTTAGTCTACATATTAGGGCACACAGACTTTTACCTACATAGCCTACACCATAAGTTTGAAATCTGCACTTTCACATGCTTAGAGTTTCTTCCAGGCATCTCTTCGGGGGAGTGGGGGGGGGGGGGCGGCGAAAAAAGTCTACCGTACCCACTCCCCCCGAACGCAATAGAATTTATATAGACAACATATACTTTTACCAGTGTCCACCCCCTGCCGGAAAATGTTGTACGTCACCCCTCCTCCGAAAAGTGCCCCCGCCCCTCCCCCGGAGAAAAAAGTCTTGAAGAAACACTGCTGCTTTCTAATTACAGAAGTTTACTTAAACAAATTTGCTTTTTAATGGCAGTTACAAACGCTTGAGTCCCCTGCATGAAATCAAATAAAAAAAAAGAAAAGCTGTCTGAAATTGGAGTCACCACCTATATGGCGCATAACATTCTTCCATTACTAAAATTAAGAGCAAAGAAGAAGAAAGAAAGAAGGAGAGCCCCTTGCCCTAAGGTCGCCTAAAATGCTGTCGAAGGATATTTTTTGTATTATTTTTTAAAAAGAAAGCTCTTGCAGACAACAGTGTGGGTTTGTGGAAAAATTTAGCAATCAAGACTAGGATTACCACTGTGATTGGCCGGCACCATCACCCCTTACAGGCAATTGTCCTGTACAGCCGCACCATAGTTCTGTATCTATGGAGATATTTTACCCAACCCCAGCCCCATCCGTTGACAGGGAACGCAGCGCCTCACTTAATTCGTCTCAGTAGCGTAGCGAGAGGGGGGGGGGGGGGGGCGGGGGGGGACATATGTCCCCGGGCGCCGACCTTAGGGGGCGCCAAAATGGGTTGGAAAAATAAATTGAAAGGTTGAGGGGGGTGCAAATCGAAATCTCGAGGGGGGGGGGGGTGCAAATCGAAATCTCGAAGGGGGGTGCAAATCGAAAAGTTTGTCCCCGGGCGCCGGGAAGGGTCGCTACGCCTCTGGCCTCAAAGCCAGAGTTCATGAGCCTAAGTGAGGCGGGTCGTTGGATGCTGCAAGCATTGAGTTGGGTTGGCTTTGAAAACGGGAAACAGAAAACATACTTGATAGTAGCCCAGATTTTTTGATACTGCAGGAATGAGTTGGGTTGGCATTGAAAACATGAAACAGAAAACATAATTAATAGTAGCCCAGAATGTTGCTGCAAGCATTGGGTGTGGTTGGCAGTAAAAACAGGAAACAGACAACGTAATTAACAGTAGCCCAGATTCTCCTGTCTCGGGAGCGCTTCGTTCAAACCACGATCAAAGCGTTGAGCGCTTATAAGCTATTTCTCATGTTACAATAGCAGTGTCCTGATGTCTGTGTGTGTATGTGCATGTGTGTTTTTGTGTGTGAGTGTGGTGTTGTCAATCATTTGTAACCTAAGTCCCCCTTTCTTTCAGACACTTCCGGGGACGGGGGTTGGGGTGGGGTGGAGGGCGCTGATTAAATTATATACTTTCTACGTAAATTATATTATTTGTCTAGATCGTTTGATAAAAAAAAAGGGTGGGGGGGGGGGGGGCAGTGTAAATGCTCGGGGATTGGGGGGGGGGGGGGGAGAACACGGCCCCCTTCACCCCCGGAGAGATGTTTGATAGAAACTGATTTAATGAAACGTCAAGCACAACGTCTGTTAAACGTCCCTGAGTTGATGCAAGCGCTGCGAGTCCTTAGCAGCAGTGGCGTCGCTAGGTTGGGTGTCACCCGGTGCGGCACTTCGTGGTGTCACCCCCCCCCCCAAGAAATAAAGGATATATCTATCTATCTATCTATCTATATATATATATATATATATATATATATATATATATATATATATATATATATATATATATAGGCAAAAAAAAAGAATATAATGCTTTATGAGATTATGTAAAATTTTCGAATTCCGAAAGTTTATGAGAATGCGAATATAATGTTATGCACCCCTTCCGGTTACCGGAAATCGTCCAAAATTTGGTAGAAACATTTGTCTATAGAATATAATACTTATATTATAAAATTTCATCTACCTAACTGAAGAGGTAATTAAGTTATAGTATTCACACATACAATCAGACACACACAGGCAAAATTTGGTTTATCCTTTTCAGGAAGGTGTAAAACGTCAAATCTGGGTTTCAATTTTTCGCATCATTGATATTTTAAAACTTCCCCCAACATCCCGTAAACGAAAAAGTAAAAAGTTTGATCTAAATTTATACAACAGTTAAAAAGTATGAGATCAATAATTGTATACAACATTTAAAAAATATGTGTTCGTATACAACAATTAAAATAACGCGTACTTTCGTTAACTGGGCGCCGCAGGAATACTTTGCTAAAGACGATAATATGAGAACCTGAAAGTAATATGCAAGTAAGTCTGTCATGTATATTTCTGCTATTGGTAAGACGGACATATAAATCTTCCTATCGGTAAGACAGATATGCAGGTTATATCTTCCTATCAGTAGACGAACATGTAAATCTTCCTATTATTAACATAGACATGTATATTTTCACAATCGGTAACACTGACATTTATATCTTCCTATACGTAAGACTGACGTGTATGTGTATCGTCCTTATTGGTTAGACAGCACATGTATATCTTTCTATTGGTAAAACTGGCATGTATATCATCTGTATGAGTGAGATGAAATTGTATATTTATCGTCCCTATTTGTAAGAGTCGAGACGGACATGTATATCATCTGTACGGGTGATGATATATATATATATATATATATATATATATATATATATATATATATATATATATATATATATATATATATATATATATATATATATATATATATCTTCCCTATTGGTATGAGACGAGACGGACATGTATATCATCTGTATGGGTGAGATGAATATATATATATATATATATATATATATATATATATATATATATATATATATATATATATATATATATATATATATATATATCGTCCCTATCGGTAAGAGTCGAGACAGACATGTATATCATCTGTATAGTTGAGACGTCTTGAAATAATTACTTGACGCCCGACTCTGCCAGCCGCTCGAGGCGCTGGGCTATCTCTGTCTGGCTTAATGAGCCGTGGTACTTGAAACATTTTTTACCCCATTAAGCAAAAACAGCTGCAACAAGAGGATCGCGCTGGAAAAAAATATCTCACAGAGTGGGTGAATGTAGCAACGGAAATTTTTAAAGGAAAAAAAAATCGTTTTTCGAAAGAGAAACAAATTGTTTTCCCCCTTCTAGATAGCTTCCGTGCTTAGATTTTTATATCTATGTAGAGTTAGTCTCAACTCAGGGGAATAACATGATGCTTGGGTTTCATCATCAGCATGTGCCCGATTGGCGGGCTTTTTTTTGTCTATAATTAGATCCGCGCGCACAGCATGTGGTGCATGATTGCGAGTTGCAGCCCCTGTTTTAACCATGACCCAACGGGATCGTGTTTGACTATAAAACCGCCTAGCAACCCAAGGTTTCCATTGACTCGCGACCCTGCATGAATGAAAGCCCAAGTTTGAATTGGAGATCTTCAACGTGGTGGACATTTCGCCTTCGGTTTTCTGTAACCGATTCTGAATTTTTAAAGCATCGCCTTCAATAAGGATTATCTTACAATTTGCTTGCTGAAACTTCATTAGACTCATCAGTAAAAGTAAGTTTTTTTTTAATTAACTAAAAAGTAGGCATATACTTAATTGCAAAGATAAAATTGAAATGTAAAAAAAAAATAATTTGCAAATAGTTTTTTGAAACACATTTTTAATACAAGAAAATTAACTTAAAAATTCAGCTTTGATGGATAATTAATTTTAATTTGACCTAGAAAAACTATATTAAATTTAGAAAATTTAACAACAAAAAGTCTAAGCAAATGTGCACATTCTGACAAAACAGGATCCCAGACCTTGTCCTAATTCAGCAGACGCGACCCGCTTCCCATTCACTCCGAGCAGCCTTTACATGTCTAAATTGTTGAATCATTTTTTATCATCTTGGGCTGCTTTTTACAACGCGCTTTCTCGTCCTTGAAGAGATTTGATCGTATTACGTTACTGCATGTTGGAGAAGATATGCGCGAATTCCAGCGTTTAATTTATAATCGTTTTCGTGACCTTTCTGAACCTGCTTTTCCCATGACCTGTCTACTTTAGGACCAGCTAGAAATACATTTTTGACACTAGTTAAACACAATTATTTAATACTTTCTAATTACAAAAACATGCGTTTTAATACTGGCTAATTAGACATAGTTTAAAAAACTAGCCAATTACCAATAATGCTTTTTTAAACTCTCGCTAATTGCAATAATTTTTTTGTTTTTAAATACCTGTTAATTACAAAGATTTTATTTTCACCCTGGCTAATAGCAAAAACATTTTTAACTCTTGTTAACTTCTAATTAGTTTGTTTTTAAATAACTTTTTTTTATAAGCAGCCAACAAATTATTTTGATTTCTTTTTTAAAGACATTCATTAATTGTTTTTCTGTTGCTATGGTAATCACAAAGCACAACCCACGAATACTATGTTGTTAGCAAATTTGGATTACAAATCTAATTTAGAAATATTTTTTTTAAACTGTTTCCAGGAGAAAGCAACAATTTGGACAATGGTTTCTTGTGTAGCTCTAAGCCACGCTACATTGTTGTGCCTGGCTCTCTTGACACTGCGGGCCACGTCCCAACTCACAGATGTTGACCCACATGGCCTTAAAACCCAGGCCAAGAGGAAGACCCACAGCACGCCATTCGTCCAGGCCACGCCTGCCTCTGACGTCACATCCGCCACTCCACGTGACGACACGGTGTCGAAAGAGGAAGAAAAAATGTTGGCAGATTCTCATATGGACAGCCCAAAACGCCTCAACAGACCGCCATGGTTGGTGAAAAACCCAACCCCCACCCAACCCCAGAACCTAAACGACAAGCCTAAATCCGGGTTTGTTCTTGACGTCATACCAGTTGTAAACACGTTCTCAAACGAAAGCCAGGCGACACCTGAACAAGCTGTTACCATGGATACCGTGACGGGAATCCACCAAACGTCCAACACCAACGACATGATGACGAGTACAGAGATGGGGAATAAACAAGGCGCCATCTTGAATCAAGAGAACACCCCCTTCATTGTCAAAACTGAAAATCACCACACAATCGAGTCAATGAACACGTCAATCAAAGAAAACTCCACCCTAATCACAGAAGAACCAGCTCTAAGCGGCGAATCCGATATTTGGGACAAAAAACCGACACTGCCTTATGAGTCGGACAACGGCCTTGAAGAACCGGAAGGTGAAGAGGACTGCCCGAACTGTGCCCCAGCCAAGATGACGGAAGACGAGGTCAAAGAGCTGCGGCTGAACATGTTCGCTGAGACCTTGATGCAGAAGTTGAGGTGGGAGTCGATGAGCACGTCTGACGAGGTGGGGGCGGCAGACGAGACGCTGCTGAAGCTTCCGGAAGTGGTGGCCGAGCAGACGTACAAGGACAACACATGGCAGGAGGAGAAGGACGAGTTCTACGCCCGGGACCAGGAGATCATCCTCACAGGCGAAGATCGTGAGTTAACTTTGTAAACTCTTGCTCATCTTTGTTTCGTTTGATCGTAACAACATTATTTTATGTTATGTTCTTGTGTGTTGTTTCAGCCAGTGAATGTTAAAAACACATCTAGACACAAAGGAAAAATATGCGGGAAGTCATGTGGTTTCATGTCCTTATCAGTGGGTAGGGGTGCAGGCGCGGGTTTATTGTGTGATAAAGGGTGGGGTGAGGCGGTTAAAATCCCAAGGGCAGAAAAAAATTATTTTATGATCTTTTTCTTGCATCATATTTGTATGACAAATCGTTAAAAGCTTAACGAAAAACACACCTATTTAGGAAATAAATAAATAAGATTACTAAATAGAATTATGTCCAATATTAAACTTTTTTTTCTAGAAAAATGTTAAGTAATGTAACAATTAAAAGCAATAACAACTCCAGGTTAAATATCAGCTGTATAAATGTTGAGTTAAATTAAAGAGTCCCTATTTTAAACACAATAAATGTTTTAAAAATTGCTGAAATTGTGGACAGCTATATATATATATATATATATATATATATATATATATATATATATATATATATATATATATATATATATATATATATTCGCTGTTTAACATGAGCATAATGTCTTCTATTTGATTATGCCTGAACATTGATTCTTCCATTAAAAAAATATTTGATGACGCCCAACACTTGATGACCTTAGAGTCACTATATATGTGTCACTGGCGTCACAAGGTTGTGTATGACCCGTGCGGTCCACCCCCTCCCCCCGTCATTTGACTAAACTGTAGGGCCTATGCTGTTTAAACTCTTTACCCGTCTGTATACTCTAGGGAAGCGATATGGTTCGTGATGAAGAAAACGTGTGAGAACCACTGATTGAGATACAACCACTGTGGTTTACCCCCCCCCCCCCCCCAGCCCAGGTGCGATCATTAGCACCAGGTGTAAAACGCCCGCTCTCCTGGTGCCAATAGCACAACATCCACATCTGCTAGCTTCAATGCCTGTAAATAAACTTAACTGTGTCTTAACTACAAGACATTCCTGCCATTTTTTTTTTAAATCAGGAAAAAACATTAGGGTACGCTTAGACCAAGGCAATGTTGGGCGTCTTTAAAAAAATATTTCTTCCTCGTCGCAATTTTAAATAAATATTTAAAACAGTTGGAAAATAGATGTTGAAACTTAAAAAAAAAAAAACGTTTTTTTTTTTTACAAGGCCGATATGTTTTACAATATGTTATTTTTCCCACAGTGGCGCCAAACTGCATCATAGCCAAACTATCCAATCAAACCACTGGCTGTTACAAATTCAATTTGAAGCGAAAGGTCAAGGCCGGCATCGCGTCTGCCCAGCTGTGGTTCTTCAAAACACGTGACATAAGAGACAACGGCTTGCACCATTTTCTCATCTATGAGTTGGAGCAAACCAAAAGGTAACGGGAAAATAAACACCCCCTTCCCTCCCCACCCCCTCTAATTTTTTTTAAAAACACAGGGGTTTTATTTATTATAAACAGAGAGAAGTTGGAGAGGGGACGGGAATAAGCTAACCAAAACAGTGTCACGAATTCCGGTCGGTGTTACATTTTTTTCCATTCATGACGGATCAGCAATTTACGTTGTGAATGCATTCTGTATATACTCTTTCTTATAGAACTGACAAACTGGCGAATCCGAGAATTTCGATCCTATCTATTTCCAAAACCGGGTTCAAATTATTAAAACGTTCCTGAGTCCACCCAGCTCTAATGGGTGCCTAACTCACGTTAGGTTAAATAAAGGCGGCTGGACATAGCGCTGACCACACTATCTCTTCATACGCCGTGGTCACAAAAACATTTGGACTCGTACTTCACTTGCCCCATGGACCGTCAGGTTCGAAAAGGGAACTTTTTTTCCACAACAGTATCGTTTTAGTCCTAACTAGACCAGTAAAACCAGACCTTAGCCAGACCTGTGTGAAGGTCAGGGCAGGGTGCCTGTGACGGAATTACACCTCTGATCTTCACAGCACACTCTAAAGCCTGAGTGGACATTAAGTATGTGCTAGCTGTACGCCACCACAATACTGCCTGATAATCCCGGGGGGTGGGGTGGCTCCACGAAATAAATCTAAAACACAATCCTGCCTACGCCATTGCACTGCTGGAATTATAAATCTCTGTAAATCTCTTGTAGTGGTCGACTGTTGACGACAAGCCAGATCGCACGTAACGACACCTTCGTCAAGGAGAGCTGGGTTCGAATCGACATCAGCAAGGCCGTACAGAGGTGGGTGCACAAGCGGGTCGACTCCAGCATCCTGGCCATCAGGTGCAAGACTTGCTCCAGCCAAACATACAAGGCCCTCTATGGCGCTAAGGTCAGTCTTCATACATCTTCACTTCTGTGTACACGCTTTTTGTAGAGGAGGCGCGCCAAACTGAGTGTGCTGAGTAGTGCTAGGGAACGTGTGGATTAGTGCTAGGTAACGTGTGGATTAGTGCTAGGGAAGGAGTGGATTAGTGTTAGGGGAGGTGTGGATTAGTGCTAGGTAACGTGTGGATTAGTGCTAGGGAAGGTGTGGATTAGTGCTAGGTAACGTGTGGATTAGTGCTAGGGAAGGTGTGGATTAGTGCTAGGTAACGTGTGGATTAGTGCTAGGGAAGGAGTGGATTAGTGTTAGGGGAGGTGTGGATTAGTGCTAGGTAACGTGTGGATTAGTGTTAGGGGAGGTGTGGATTAGTGCTAGGGAAGGTGTGGATTAGTGCTAGGGAACGTGTGGATTAGTGCTAGGGAAGGTGTGGATTAGTGTTAGGGGAGGTGTGGATTAGTTTTAGGGGAGGTGTGGACTAGTGCTAAGTAAGGTACGACGGTATGATTTACCAAATTTACAAAGTCCATCCTAATTAAACCAAATTTGAAATTTAAAAACGATTAATCGAAATCAACTAAGACAGCAGTATATTTGTAATTCAAAAATTATTAACGGAAACAAAATTTTAAAAATTAACCGCATTTAATTTTTTTTTACAAATAATCATACAACTATCAACCGAAACAAACCAAACATCGCAGCAAAACTTTAAAACTTTATAAACAGCGTCAACCTTTCTCTTCACCAGCACGGCTACAAGCCAATAATCGTCATCAAATACTCAAACTCTGGCAAATCAATTCGTGAGAAGAGATCAGCTTCATGTGATCCTCGCACCGAGTGCTGTAAGCGACCCCTAGTGGCCAATTTCAACGCCATCAACATCCACAATATACTCCAGCCAAGAAATATGTCTGTTGGATTTTGTTATGGATATTGCGATGGTAAGTATGCAAAAATGTAAATTCAATGTTAGGTTCATTGCAGGTATAACTGTGTTGTATAAACATTTTACAAATGTACCTAGACAGTGTCAAGTTAGCTAGTTAATTAGGAATAGATGTGTTCAGGAGAAGGTTAACTATGTGCTGAGTTTTGGCTCGCTTCACCACCATCTTCCACCCTGACTTGTCTGTTGTCGTCTACTTTTATGTGTAGACCCCAAGCTGCCATAGGTATCTGTCAGCATCATCCATCCATTTTTTTGTCGTGTTACTCTGTTATACACCACTTTCACATTATTGTGATATCTCATTGCTTCGAGATTACCTAGCTACGATAGTCTTCCATTTTTATAATTCTGCTTTTAATGGTCTTTGTATATTTCATTTTTGTAATCGCACAAAATTTCGTTCCAGCATCGCTTTTATCAGAGTTTTTAACAATTCATTTTCCCCCAAAAGTTGTCGTAACCCTTGTTGGCTTGTCTTAAAAGTTGTCGTAACCTGTTGGCTTGTCCCAAAAGTTGTCGTAACCTGTTGGCTTGTCCCAAACGTTGTCATAACGACTGTTGCTATATTCCAGGGGTGGATCAGTTCACGTACAACCACACGACCATCAAGCAGCGGATCCGCTGGGTGCACACGACCGACGCGAGCCTGAGGGAGCAGCTCAAGCCCTGCTGCGTGCCACTGGTCCTGAAGGACTCCTTCATCCTGGCCACAGAGAACGGATACATCGTCCGGAAGATTCTACCCAAAGTCATTGTTGAAAAATGTGGCTGTATGTAGTCCTATATGTCCACGTGTAAGGACTTGACGAAATAAAAAGTTGTTGAAAAAAAAAAACGACTAACTACTTTAAAAAAATATTTAACAAAAATCTACTGACTGAAAAGTGGGATTTCAAAAACCGAGTTAGTTACTTTTATTTAGACATAATTAGCTAAAACTTTGAAGTTTACAAATATATCGGATTGTTTAAATATTGCAAAAATATTTAGATATGACATTTTTTTTAAAAAAGTTGATTTAAATATTTTTGCTCGGATACTAGTCAATTATTTATTAAAAACCACTTAACAAAATATTGCATCCCCAAAACTTGAATAGTTAAAAAAGAAAAAAATCTTAGAAATAATTTATTTTCATGTTTTTTATGCACCTATTACCTAGTAAAAAATGTGAAAGATAAAATGTAATGCACATTTTAGTGTGTGTTGTGTGTTCTGCTTTCAGTTAATTTATTGCTTGTGTTGCCTGTGCTTGATTATTATTATAATTTTAATAAAATGTTATTTGAATATTCATAATTAATATTGTATTTTTATTTTAATAACATTGTTTTTTTTAAAAATATATTTAAAGACGTTATCTCCTTAGGATTGTAAGAATATAATAAACCCACAGGAGTCGTGTTAATTGTTAATTGCACCTTAAAAAATTAAGACAAATCATCCAAGCAACCGATAAATATGGAAAAAAAAGTTATTTTGACATTGTTTTCCAAGTTATGCATTTAAAAATTATAAACCGTGATCCGCCTGTGGTACATAACGAGTGTTTTTTTAAATTTGATAACCTAGCTATCGAATTCACTTTGGCTGCGAAAAATAATTTACTTAAACAGAAACAATGTTTGTTAAAATTATATTATTTATAATTAATTATATGTGACTTCTATCTATTAATAAGCATTACTTGAATAAACATATATTTTGTCGTTATAACTTTATAGCTTGTCTAAAGCATATGTCTCGCTGAAAACGAGCGTGTTAAAGTGCCAAATTTTTTAAATTCTTAGAATCAACAATTCGGATTGTTTAAGCTATAAAAATTATTAATATTAGCGTTATTTGTGATCCGGAGAGTTAAATGCGTACGTTTTAATTAGCCAGATATATTTCTAGTCATATGCCTAGTCTTAGTATGTGTTACATTATTATAAATCATATTTGAGTGTTGTGTCAGCTACCTTACTCATGAACTTGACATTTTTATTTCTAAAATTTATTTAATATAATATGATGGCTCATCTTAAAAAATTATTCTTTGTCATTCAAGTTTTAATTACTTTTTTTTGCTTAAAATGATGGAAATGTTTATTTTTAAAAAGAAAAATTGCCTGGCTTAATTTTATGTGATATTTTCAATAGTTGAAAACAATCTGAAAGGATCTTCTAGAGTTTTTATTTTAAAGAAATTGACCAGGCAATTCCCTGTTAACATTAGCTAAGCTACATTACTGTTTACGCATATTGTTATCTCTGTTACATTTTTGCTCAATAAAAACAACACCCAAGTGTATGATGAATCAGCTTTTGCTTTATTTTTGTGTTTTAATAATAAGGAAGTTAAGTAAATGAAGTAAAGTTCAGACATTTCCTGACCTCGGCATATGAAGGGATAATGTAGTCAGCACCTTGCCCCGCCACCTGTACTTTCCCTAACGTGAGGTATCTATCAGAGCTGGGTGGACTTGAGACTTGTAAAATAAATAGTTGTAGTTTAAAAATAAAACAACTATATTCTTAGTCTTAGCGGTCAAATCACGTTTTCAATGTGACATTGATCAGAACATCATACAAGGCCACATACACAAAGAGTGGCGGGGAATTTAAACGTTTGAAAATATGTGAACTAACGATAGAATGATTAACATTTAAAGGGTGTTTGGGTGTGTGTGGAGGGGGAGGGGAGTTGTGATGTATTTTATTGATGGTAGGCGCTTGCTCTTTTGTACGACATATAACGACGGGTCGTGCTATAGTCAGCGAATACAGCGAGACATTAGTTACGCACGACCCCTCTTTAGCTGTGTATTAGCACCTAATTTGCTTTTATCGTTTTTCTTTTAATTTAATCCTCAAGGCAAAGACCCGACATAAGCAGGGGTGGACTGGCTGTGTCTAAGGGGCCCGGGAAATTTTAAAAGGGTCCCCCAAATCTTGATTAAAATTTATTTGTGTATTTTACCCCCAGCAAAGCCAATCTTCAGCTTGATGGAAATTTAAGCGACAGATTATTAAAAAAAAAAAAAGAAATCAAAGCACTAATAGGCGTAGTACAGCATCGTTCATGGGTAACCCACCGTTTCTTTTAGCGCAATTTCCATACTGGACAATTGCGATTATTAACTCGTTATTTCTGGATGGATGGATGTGCGCAGCTTTAAGTCGTATCTCCTCCTCAACGAAGCACTATCGAGGACTAGTTCCAAAAGCAAATATGTTAAGCAAGTTCCGAGGATGATTGTGGGCCAAAATAATTCCCGGAATTCCTTCCTGGATTTCCCGGAAAAGCCAAAAAAAACCTCGGAAAAAATGCAGTTTTTGGCCCATAGCTCGGCAACCAGACCACTTAGCGACTTGAAACATTTACCAATCGATTCCTGCCATAATTTAGAACAATATTGCCGAAGAAAGTTTTAAAAAATATCCTTTCGTTCGGTCACAAAAAATTAATTAAGGAAATTGCGCTTAAATTGTCACTAGACTTTTTATTAACTTGTTTTAAATCTTGGGACCCAGTGGGATTTTTCCCGGTAGACCGGCGGGCCTGTCCACAACAGGTCACAAGTCAACATATGGGTATGAGCAGAGTTTCTTCCAGGCAAGAAAGTCTACCGCCCTCCCCCCGAGTGAAATGTAATTTATATAGAAAATATATACTTTTAACAGTGTCCGCCCCCCCCCCCCTCGAAAATTTCAAGTGCTTGCCACCCCCCCCCCCCCCCCCCCCGAAGAAAAAATTCTGGAAGAAACACTGGGTGTGAGAAACGGGTCACTCACTTTATCTTCAAATCAAATAGACTTTAATTTTTTAGGCCAAATGGAAGTTATTTTTTTATTTAAATGGTGTCCTATAACTTATCCATATATAGATAATGTTGTGACATTTGTTGTGACATTTTGTAGTGACAATTTGACATGGGAAATCGTTAACTGGTCAGATTGGTCACGTAGACGTCTGATTACTTTTTCAGTCTAAACGTGTGTGGAGGTTATCAAACTTTGAAATACTGAGTCAAGTCACTATTTTGCCGAGTTTAAATAAATCAGGGTAATACCTTTCAACAAAAATGTATTGTATTTTGTTAATTTTGTTTATCGCTATTAATTATACTTTATGATCTACCATAAAATACAAAACATGTAGTAACCTACCTATGAATAGACAGCTCTACTTTTCGTTCAATTTCGGTGTTAGTTTTTGCTATAAAATTGAAAATCAGGAGTGAAAACTTAAGGTATTTTTATAACATTACAATGGCAACTGTGTCGTTCGGTACATTTGTTAGGAACAATGTTGTGGGTGGAATTATGAATGAAAATCTTCTGGCCTTGAGTAAAAAAGGAAGTTTGTGTAGGGATGATAGTGGGGGAGGGGGTGAGCTACCGCGTATTTCTGTCTGTTGTGACGTTTTGGCCATAACACGTGGGCCAAACATCAACAAAGGGGACATGGTAATTAGGACATCCAGGATATAACTGATCGCAATTTTTTTTTCTCGTTGATTTCGTCAACTAGAGTAGCATTTCCCGTCATGTTAATACTAATACCCGACACACACCGAAACAACCGAGCTGCTACGTAGGCGTACAGCTCAATAAAGAAAATGTGTTACAGTAACGTGGTTTTGAGGCAGAACTTTTTTTGGCCTCGCCTTTTTGAGTAATTTCATGCGGAATATATTACAAATAGAATGTGTATGTTATTAAACGAAAAATTATTTTCAACAATTAACTTTAAAATTCCCAGCCCCACCCCCGCCACACCACGGCTTGCAAACATTTCTTTAAAAGTACAGAAATTAGATAGTAGTCACCTTAAAAGGTTATTATGTAAGTGAAATCAATTATAAAAATGTAGTGTTAGTATCCTAGTAAATAAAAAGCAATTACAGGTACCTGTACACTGTGGCTGTAGTTGTTTTTAATTCATGAAGATACTGATACAATTATTATTTGCATTAACATCACTGAATCTACCTTTTTTTTTATTTAAGTAAGGAAATTCGGCTACGCCACTGTACTGATGTATTATGTAGTGGGCGCTATTTAGCATTTGTATGTTAATACTGTCTTTGGGGGCTACCATGGTTGCTGTAATAAATTGGACGGCTTCCAACTCCCTCCCCCGCTAGTCTGGGCAGTGATAAATGATATGTTGGGTTGACACTTGCACTTATCGTTCCTGATATGACACTGACAAATATTGTTATAATACACGACAGTCGTGTGAAGTTAGAATTAATAAACACATTAACATTTGGTGCGAAACTGATGGTATCACGTCGGTAAAACATGGTTCTCGCTCGTGTCTGAAATATACATAGCCTGAATTACATTATTTTACTGCAGTTCTGTTTCGTTTCTTTTACTGTTATATTTGACCATTTCAAACAACGCAATTATTTCAGATATATTAGGAAAAGGTGAAAAGCTGTCCTTATACCTGAGCGCCCCTTATCTTCACACCGCGCACGAAGTCAATATGAGAAAAACAATGGCTTCAATCAGTTTTTGCTATTTCACGTAAAGAGATTATCATTCAAGTATTTTAAGTTAGTTTGTTCCTCTATTTTCTCCAAGTTAAAAAAAAACGATTTTCAGTTCAAATGAAGGTTTGAGTATACAGCTCTAAACTAAATCACTAAAGCGGCAACATATAGGTGTGAATGATGTGGGGGGGGGGGAAGTAGGCTATGTAGACTGTAAGCTTACTACACCATGGGTTCCCAAAATGTGGGTCGCGAAGCAGGGTTGCGAAGGGCTTTCTGGAGGTCGTCAACTGGTAGACTAAACCAAACAAATGGAAGTAATGGAATAGAGAAGTAATAATGCGTATTGTGCAAAGTTGTTCTCAGTCATGAGTCTATGAAACCTTCAAAACTAAAACGCTGTTTTGAGACGAGTTATTCGGAACACAAAAAAAAAAAAAAAAAAAAAAAAAAAAATTAAAAAAAAAAAAATGGAGTGCTTTCGTCGGCATAAAGCTAGTGCAAACGCCAGGGACTTGATCAAAGAGGAAGTTCGTTGGCTGTCACAAGGAAATGTTGTGAATCGTGTTTTTGAATTAAAAGATGAAAGCAAGTTGTTCTTGGAAGTGCAAAAAAACAAGACCTTTTGATATACTTTAACAACTAAAAGTGGTTAGAAGGCGTATCATACCTAGCAGATATATTCGAACACAAAATAGGCTAAACCTGAAGCTTCAGGGAAAAGAAACGAATATTATCACTAATCTCGGGGAATTTTTTATCAAGCTGCAAATTTGGCGAAGCTAATAAATCTTAGAAATATTGCCATGTGCACGAAACTCTGCAGTGAGGTAGATGAATCTCTGATTGTGAGATAAATAAAAATATGAAACAGATTTCTGGGCACCTTGAATCTCTTGAAAACGAACTGCGGCGTTATTTCCCTGAGCTGAAAGAAGAAGAAACTGCTTGGACATTCTCTGTTTCCCTTGATGTTGCCAGCATTCTCGAAGAATTACAGGATGCATTCTAGGACTTACGGAATTAATCCGCGGCACGTACCTTGTTTCATGAAAACCTGCTCACACAATTTTGGCGTAGTACGCACCATTTATACCCAAACGTGAAATTGATTGCCTTTCGAGTTTTAGTTTCTCTTGTGTCTACATATCTTTGCGAGAGTTAATTCTCAACACTTCTCCGATTAAAAACAAAACAAAGAAATAAATTAAATGTTGAGAATGACATGGGGTTGGCGTTAACAAAAACTCAACCGCTAATTTTGAGGCTGGTTAATAGCATGCAATTTCACACTCTTATTTGAACAGTTGTCAAAAATAATGTAAATAGAAATTATACTAGAAAATCTTATTTTGGTGTTTATTAATCTCCGTACTAATTTCGATTTTTTAATTCTATGGCGGTTACGGTTCACTTAGTTTTGTAAAAGGGGGTCGCCACTTGAAAAAAAGTTTGGGAACCCATGTATACGCAGTACAAAAAAGTCACACTAAGCCCTAGTGCTAAAAACATCACTTAAGTTCATTGTATTACTTTACATTTCTTTTAGTGATACGTGATTCGAGACAGTTCATAAGTTATGACCTTCACATTCATGTACTTATTGATGCACATTGTCCAAGTGATGATGAAAATGTTTGACGTTCTTTACCAAAACAGGCTGAACGTTTTGGGGTTGGAAGCTAAATAAAAACATGGACGGGATCTTTTGTTAAACTTTTAGCAGCAGGTGCTGTCAGGTTGGTGAATAACCTGAGGTCAGTTAAGTCTCGTCATAGGTGTGATATCGTTGTATGATATCGTTGTGTAATATCGTGTATGATATCGTTGAACGATAACGTTGTATGATATCGTTGAATGATATCATTGTGTGATATCGTTGTATGATATCGTTGTATGATATCACTGTTTGATATCATGGTGTGATAGCATTTGTATAATAGTGTATTATTTCACTGTATTATATAATTCTATGATAATATTGTATGCTATCATTGTGTGATATCATGCAACTGTGTGATATCATTACATAATATCAGATAAATCTACCCCTGAGATAAGTCTCTGATCACGAATAAAGTCATGCTATGTTAGACAAAATTTACCCCATTCTCATTAATAAAAAAATATAATTTCCATTTTGTCTTTTTTATGCATACAAATAAAACATAAATAAAGACCACATCATGTTTTTGAATCCCTCCCCTTTCACCTCACCAAGTACATCTTCACACTTCACACCTTTGAACTTCATGGATTAGAGATTTCATTTAGAAGACCCCGTTGTAAATGAATCATATCATTTTTATAGACCTCACTTAAAATAGTCTAATTTATAGTCATTAGCGATTATTTTTTTTTTGCATAATCGACCTAACTAGCAAATAGTTATTCACACTTCCCTAAAATAAACGTGTTTCATTTCTTTTATGTCCCTGTTAAAAGGGAAACAACTCAATATTTAGAAATTAATTACAATTTCGAAAATGGGCTTATAATTAAATTTAGTTGGGTCACCATAAGGTATGTTGATTAACTTGTATTATAATTTACAAAAATAATCCGTTAAAATTGAAAAATAACTGCTAAAATTCATTTTAACAAATTGTTACTCAAGTGCCTGACGAGTGACGACTCCTAAATTAGGACCTACACACACGTTCCTACATTTAAATATCAATGTATAAATAATAAAAAAATAATATATTTTTATTATACAAATAGATAAAAATAATATAACCTGAAGTACCATTAATTTCTAACTATTATATTCGATGTTTATTCAGTTTATGTCGATTGTCCCACGCCCTTCGAAATTGCATAAATTAGATGCAGTTTTGATTTTCTCGGTATATGGTATGCTCTTTTTTTCTGTACACATGGTTTTTTAACTGCTAATAGAAAGTAGCAACAAGGCACTAGGCTACTTTAGTAACTTTAGTACTTATTTTTCCGAAAGCAAATCAGCCGAATGTTTAGAATTACATCTAAGACATTTTAAAATGGAAGATCTAGAAATTATAATCGGAACTTACGAAAACTTAATACTTGGTTATAAAGTAATCAGGAATATTAGTGGAAATGGAGTAGGCCTATGTTTTATTTTCTTACGAGTTTAGTCTCAGTTTTGAGTTTAGTCTTCTTACTCTTAGCTTAGTGTTTAGTTCAGTTTCTGAGTTTACTGAGTTTAGGAAAGTTTAGTATAAGTTAAATTAGTAGTAGATCTAGTAGACTAAGTACTAAGTAGAGATCTAGATCTAGATCTAGGGGTCATCCATACATGTCATGACGTCACCTTTTTTTGACGATTTTTACCTCCCCTCCGAACTCCGACATGTCTTCACACAAACAAAGCCAGACCCCCCCCCCCCTAAAATGACGTCACACCTCAGCTTACAACCCCCCCCCCTGAAAATTGCAGTTGAATTTTTTTTAAACAGCTATATAATTTTTCCAAAATCTTGTCTGAACTCTGTCAAGATAGAGTATTTTAATCAATTAATAATTATTAATTAAAACAGTTTTCTAAAACGCAAAATGACGTCTAAAATTCGTTTTCTAGCACTGCTTTTTTATAATGCAAAAGTGTGACGTCTCACCATTTGAACCTCCCCCTCATCACACACCGTCACAAAATTACGGACCCCCCTCCCACCTACGAGTGTGATGTCATTTATGGACGACCCCCTAGATCTAGATCTAGTAAAAATTAGTAGATCTAGTAGTAGGCCTAGTCTAAGTTTTTAGTTTAGTCATTATCTGAATTTATCTGAATATCACTTTATTCTTTATTGACTTTATCATTGAGTTTAGTCATTTGTCATTTATGGCATGGCATGGCATTAGGCTATTAGGGTTTGCACTGTTAAGGCCTTAGGCCTAGATCTGGTCGATCTATCTATTTAGATCTAGACTTTATAATTTTATATTGATATAATATAGGGCTAGGCCTATTCTATATTAAAATTTTGGTTGCGTATCACTTCACTATCACTATTAAATCTAGTAGTTAGTAGGCCTAGATCTATTAAATTCATCAGCAGGGTGCAACAGTTATTCTAGTATAAAATATAAACTTATAAAATAAAGTTAAAGAACTTACGTTAATTAATACACAATACAAAATACGCCTTGATGTTAATGATGCCAAATTTGTCTGATGTAGATTCGTGTCCAAAAAATGTGAAAGCTAAGTATTCTAATCTGAATTTACCTACAGAGCTACAGCTTAGAGACAAGCTTTACTGATGATTCACACAGAGGAGCATTAAGATGCATGTCTGTTTCATCCAGTGGAGTATTGGCTTCCAGCAGTACAGATGATTCTATCAGGCTACACAATCTCAGGAAAAGAAAGGATGTCGGTGGTTTGTTTGAACACTCTGGTAAGTTACTTTTTTTTGTCCAATATAGAGTTTTGTTTAAATGTTAAAGAGTTGTGTACAATTAATTGTTGGAAAAAATAATACATCTTTGAAAGCTTTACTTTTTATTTTGCAGGGACAGTGAATTGCTTAACATTTTTTGGACACAATCATATGTTTTCTGCCAGTGAAGATGGAACCATATGCATGTGGAAATCAAAGGGATGGGAAATGTTAAGGACGCTAAAGGGACACAAGTATGAGATTGCTATTTTTATGAGCGTATTTTCATATAATTGTATGTTCGAATGTTTTATATATTATGCGTTTGAATGTTTTAAGTTATCATTGTAGTACATGTAATAAATAAAAGTGTTTTTTTATATAAAGATCACATGTAATGGCAATCGCTGTTCATAGCAGTGGAAAGTTAGGTCTTTCAGTTGGTGTGGACAAAAGCTTTTTGACCTGGGACTTGGTTACTGGCAAGTTGGCATTTCAAAGAAAATTAAAAGAAGGTAACATTTAATTTCTTATCTAATAGTACAATGTTGTGTTGTGCTGAATTATTCTTTTATTAATTGAAAGAATGGTGGCTGTTTATTCTTTAAAGGAGAAAAACATTGTATTGCAGTTTAAAAGTTTTGGTTGGTAATTGAAATGATCTTTATTAATACCATTTATAAATTACTGAAGAAATATTTTAAAAAATACGTGGATTGATAAAAGAAATTTGTAAAAAAGATCCATTTTAACACAACTGAACTACTAACTTTAATTTCAGTTGCTCAGAATATCTTCTTTACATCATCTGGAGGTCACTATGTCTTGATTTACCAGAAGAAAATTGAAGTTTGTTCTCTTGAGGTAGGTCAGTTAATCCACAACGTATTTTACTATTCTACCTTTAAAGGTGAATATTATTTTTTATTATTATCAAGTAAATAAGAAAATCTAAAAAAATATACTCTCTTAAAAGACTTACACGCTAAGATATCTCTACTTGTATTTTTTTTTAGGAATGTTAGCCTAGCAACTGTTATTTTTATTATATGGTGTTAATAAATATTTCTATTACAGAACACAAAGATAGTACAGGAGATAAATATCAACTGGAGGATAAACACAGTTTGTTTTATTCAGGTGTCCATCATTGTTTTTAGATCGTTTAAATGCTTTGCATGCTTTAGAAACAAGTAATGGAACTGCTTTCTTAAAACATACACAATTATTGTTGTTTTAAAAACATTAAATTGTGTGAATTGCAATATATTACCTAGAATAAGGATTTTTGGTTATTTTTAAATGTAAGGCCTGCTATTTTCATGGCAGTAGGGTAAAAAAAATATCCTTGCTCATTTCTCAATGTTATTAATATTATTTTCAACAGGGTGATATAATGGCAGTGGGAGGCGATGATTCTAAAGTTCTGGTAGTCGATGTCATGTCTGGTAAAACACTTCTTACTTTAGACTGTACAGGACCTAAGGAGGAGAAATTTACCAGGTACATCTAAAAGTCAAAGGCTCTCCATCATGTTTGTTTTTCAAGAAAAAGACAGAATTATTTATTAATGTGTCTAACCATTTTTGGTGTTGCTTTAAGTCCAAATTATTTTAAAATACTTATAAAAGCAACATTGTTTAAGAGACATAATTTTTAAATATTGACACTTTTCATATATCTTTTTTTTTTCAAATGGCGAATTAGTTGCAACTAAGAGGCTAAGTCTGATTCTTAAATGATTTTCAACATTGAAATAAACATTAACAGTGGATTAATACTAATTTTAAAACATATTGACCAGAAACTTTTGTAGAGGGTCACATAGATAATAAATTAAAGCAATTACTTTAATGTATATTTAACAGTGATCATACTATTATGTTTGCAGCAGAGTTAAGTGTATATGTGCAGTATCTTGTATGGAAAGTACAATTCTAACCATAGGAATGGCTAATGGAAATATAAAAGTTTTTAAACTTTTGCTTCAAGAGGTATGTTTGTTATTGATTATTTTTGTCTCATGCAGTTAATAATATATAAGTCCTTAGTATTAGTTGGCTAATTTTTCCTTGGCAACTACAAATACTTTGTTTACAAAAGACTTGTTTAGTACTCTGAACCAATAAATAAAAATTTTGTTCACCTGCAGTGCTTGTGTAGTATTATTGTAGAACGAAAATAAGCATGAGTTAAAAATAATTGGATAAAATGTTGTTTGACCATTGATTTAATCCATTATTCCTTAGCAACATCATATAAATCAGTATAAGTGCCACTCTTAAAAGTATCTCTTTAAATTATTAGTGGATGTTATAGCAGACATTTATAGATGTAGTAGTCTTTTTAAAAAAAAACCCATTTGTTTATAATTCTAGGGAGAAGAAGAATTTGAAAATATTTTTTTCTACGAAACAAAAGTGCGCCTGACATGCCTTGCTGTATTTAATCACAGAGAAAAGGGTCGAAATGATGGTAGGTAGTATTCGTTTTAAAAAAGCTTAAATTTATGTAATGTTTCTTTAATGAACTATTTTTAATTAATCAAGACAACTTTATCACAAAGATTATTTTTAATACCCAGTATATCTTTTATAACTTTTCCCCCAGAAGTTGAAGTCAGTGAAAATAAAAAATCACACCTTGTAGTGCAAGAGGACGTCAACCTAACAAAAAATAACTCAAAGGATAAATCTAAAGTTTTGTCAAACAAAAAAGCCAAGAAGTTGCAGTCCAATGTTTCACCTAAACCAGTCAACAAAAAAAGAAAGATAGAGCAGGATTCAGAAGATGAGGAAGAAGAATCTTCAAGTGAAGAACACAAACCTCAACCACCAAAACAAAAACAGAACCCTAAGAAAGCCAAATCCACTCCAGAAGATAAAATGCAAAATAGAGGAAGAAATAGGCAAAGAAAAAGAAAAGTAGAGCAATGTTCAGAGGATGAGGTAGAAGAGTCTCCAAGTGAGGAACAATCTCAAACACCAAAACAAAAAAATGGTAAAAAGAAAGTTCAACCCACTTCAGAAGAAAAGATCCAAGATAGGGGAAGAAGTAAGCAAAGAAAAAGTAAGTTTATATTTTAAACATTTTCTCATTACTTTAGTTTTAGAATATAGGTACTCACAAACCAAATTATATTTGCTGTTGGAATTTTAAAATTGTTCATAGTTACAGCAGTTAATACTAGTGCTAAGGTTTTTTTCTACCCTTCATTTGATAAAGAAACAAGATTTTTAATTTCCTTTCACTTTTTCTCCAGCTACCCAGAATTCATCAGGACAAAAGAAGAAATTGAAAAATAAATAATCATTCACACGAATGAAGATATTTACTTGTTAACAATTTATCTTTTAATAGTTTTTATAAACACTTCTTGTTTGTGTGTTATCTTCTACATGTTTTAATAAATGTACCAAAGTATGAAATTTACATTCTCTTTCATCTGCATACCTCCAAGATGATGTTAATAACCTGCAATAAAACACTTCTCATGATGCAAAAAGTGATCTCAATTGATTCTGCCATATCTGGAAGACCAGCATCAGAAAAGTATCTACTTTAAGTTTAAGCCAATGCTCAAAAGGCAATTGAATAAAATACAAACTAATACTAATAACTACATACATCATCTAAGAAAACAGTGGGATAAAATTCTGATAAATAGACAAGCAGAGACATTCACTTCAACATTAGAAATTTAAAAAAATTAGTACACACAGTTGATATTCATGTTCAGTTAAAAAAAAAAATGGAAGATTGGTGAAAAATTAAAATGATCTCTGTTTATTTATTTTTTGAATTGAGAAGCGATTACCAGTTTTCCATACATTTGGATCTCACTTCTCACAAAAAGTTAAAAAATTCATTTCAATAACATACATCTAAGCCATTCAAAACTCTGTAGCTATTCAATAGACCAGAAAACAGTTCAACATACATTTAATGATAAAAACATTAAACAAATTTGCAAAAGTATAACTTTTAGGATTTTCACACTTGAGGAGTTAGTTTGTCATAACTTTATAGGTGAGCCTCAGAACCATCAATAAACTAGAGAAAAGAAATCAAAATGAGCTTTTTAAAATGACAAAACCATGAAGTATTATAAAGACACAATAAAATTAAAGGTAGCTGTTTACTATTCTATAACAATACATCAACAACAATTATTACCTCAATGCACCAACTAAACCAGCTGGCATGAATTTACCACTGTTAGAAAAACGGTATCCCATGACACCAGTTAGAACAGCAGAAGTCACTGTTATGAGTAAATAAAACATTTAATGCTTGGTTAGTTACTCATACTATGTTTATTTTTTAAAAAGTAACATCGGTGAAACCTAAAGAATCTATTAATATAATGGCTCAGTGTTTAAAAAGTTTTAAAGTACATATCTACCTAAGGATAATGTGACATTTTTGGGTTCTTGGCCCATCTGAAATGCTCCAAACATCATCAGTGTACCGCAAGCAACACCCATGGCTAAAGAGGGAACACTACCTGAAATTAAATGAACTTTCAGTCATATACTTCTTTGAAGGAAAAAAAAATCAAAGGTTATAGTTAGGATAAGCAGTATTTCTTTCTGCAATTTTTACATGTGATAGATGAGTAACCAAAACGGCTACTGACCAATAGAACAATACATCCCAGCATATTTGTAATCTAGCTTCGGGGGCATCCATATAAAACGGCACTCACCTCCTATTATCACAAAACATTAGACCCCCCTCTTAAACTAATTTCAGACTTTAGCTGACCACCCTTACTCTTTAAAAATTTAATTCTGTAATAGTAAAAGAAAAAGGCGTAAGGCAAGGGGATATAACCAACCAAGAACGTTTTGATGAAAAATATTAATTGAGTAGTTTCCCTTTGTCCATCCGTAGGGAAAACTCCTGACAACTAATGTCTAATCAATGTAATCATTGATAATGGTAACTGGTTAGTTAAATATAAAGAAAAATCTGGATCAACATTGTTGTAAGACTAGAGTTGATGATAGTAATATTAGTAATAAGTAATACTAACCGAAGTAGACATCAATAATATTAAACATTATTAATAATACTTAGGCCTAATTAACTAACTTATTGAAACTAACACTAACTCAACTCAAACTCTGAAACTGTCTTTAAAAATTAAAAGTTTAAAACACACTTTCACTTGACTTTCACTTACCAGCCTTTACATATCCAACTATGCCACCAGCAGCTATAGTAGCAGCATAAGCTGCCGTAATTAAATCCAGAGGAAAAGACATTGTAGTCCTAGATTTCTAGTTCTAAATACAATATTTATATAAAATATAAGTGACTCTGGCTTACACCGTCGACAGTGTAGCTTTGTTATTGTTTGTGCTTAGTTTTGAATTATTTCCCTTAACACTTAAAACGTTAAAATGTGCTAGGCCTGAGATTAAAAAAATAAATAAACTTAGATTCTAATTCTTAAGCAAAATTTGACAACATTTAAGTAAATAAAAAATATTATTATAATCTAGATCTATAAACGTACTTTATCAAAGTATTTTTAAAAAAGTACACAACCATATTAGTTATCATAGATCTAGAATAAATCTATTCCTGTTTTTTAAGAAGTTGATGTTTAAACATGGCGGCTTCCATTGGTATGGTCACTAAACAGTTACCTGTGGTCCCTTCCAAACAGGTCAGATGGTTTACAGAATATTGAATGTAAATTAATAGGCCTATATGGTAAAACTCCATTTTAGCGTATTTTATTCCCGCTTCACGTTCACCTCCAGTTGAGCGTATTTTATTATAAACACAACCGAAACACACAAAAACGTCAGGAAAACACTTCACTAGATTCTAGATCTACTTAATAACTACTTATTTTTTTAATGAATGTGATTTTTAATTAGAAAAGGTAAAAAAAAACATAAAAAGCATTAGAATAGGGTTGTCGGCATCCGCCGAGTTCGCGGTAAAAACATGACCCGAAATCGCCCATTACTTTCTGATACCGGACCCACGAGATTTGGTTTTGCATACTAATAAGTTTTTAATTTATGGTAATTAATTAAGTTTAAAAGGTCATTTCCTAAGGTTAATTAAAAAGAAGAGTGGTTATCCCTTAGTTTTAATGGCTTTGCGACCTGATTGCATGCTGTCTCTGCTTTGGTCTTCCCTCTGTATCAAGGTTAGTTTCAAATACGTTGGAATCTCGATTTTTTAAAAGATTCCTCTAGATGAGAGTAGATTACTGATCAGACATATCTTAAGTAATTGGAAATGAAATTTGTTTTTGGATATTTTGACTCCGACATTAGTTATACCCCTCCGAACGTAGTCACTGTATGTAGGTCACGCTGCCACCATTGTTATATTTTTTCATCCCGATCTTCCTGCCTTTAAGTTTGATCAACTAATAACAGCATTCTTATGGCATGTGCAAACAAATCTAATTTTTTATTTCAAAATATATTTACATAGGCCTACCCATCTTTAATTTTTTTCAGCTCTAGTTCTAGTTTTGCAGAATATGTTTTTCCTAAAAATCCAATTTTGTCAGACTAGACTCTAGACTGACGAGAGTCAGACCTAGATCTAGGTTACCTGTCTGTTGCTATACACTAGCATTGTGCTAACTGTAATTTTAAGTATTCAAGTTCTACTTACCCTTAGATATAGTTATATGCTGAAAATCAGAATCCATACACAATCACACATAAAAACATTGATCTGATAACTTCATTTCACTTATTACAAAATGGCTTTTATATGGACTCTACTTCACCTGCCCAAAATAACAAGGCAGTTATAGACACATTACAGTGTTCAAGTCATTTACTTTAGATTTCTGACTATGGAGTTCTTTCATTCACTGTATTTATATAAAATATTGCTTTAGAAACATTTTCATATTTGCGCAGCAGTTTTATAACAAAATGGCTTAAAGATGGACTCTACTTCACCTGCCCAAAATAATGAGGCAATTATATGCACATAACAGTGTTCAAGTCATTTACTTTAGATTTCTAACTTTGTAGTTCTTTCATTTGCTGTATTTATATAAAATATGGCTTTAGAAACATTTTCATATTTGCGCAGCACACAGTTTTTTGGGGTTATGGGAGGAAGCCAACACAAAAATATAAGTTCTGTATTATTTTTATTAATTTCAACAGCATTTACAAGTTCTATATATCATTCTAGTTAAACTCTGCAAATATGAACAAAATACAACTGCAAGTAAAATAACTATGCTCAATTTATTCAGGTATACCATGACTTGTCACAATTGGCCAATGCTAAAGCAAGGGGATTCCACCCCTCACAAAAAAATTCGCAAAAAAAAAACTATTTGAGCTAGACAAAAAATCTTTTTTGTTTTGTTTTCATTTTGTTGAGCTCTACAAGAATATGTAATTTTTATTTTTATATGATGATTAGTGTTTTTTTACCTAAATCCCTAATTAGAACTGTTCCAATTAATTATCGAATCTCGTGTAATCGTCAGCGGGAGAAAAATCCTTACACGGTCGCGGGTTCACCGTGATTTCACATTGACATTCAATGAATTATCAGCATACGTCATAGCTCGGGCAATTGCTATTTGAAATTGTGTGGGCCTGAGTTTTGGGGTCATTGTAAGTTAATTAATGTTTATTTATAGTATCATGCCTGGGAGATACTTGTAACAATACAAACTTAACCGCCTTGCAATTGTGAGTTACGTTTACGTACTTCACCCATTGCCATGAAAATTCTGACACACGAACATTGCACATTCAATATTCTAAGTTTGGATTTTTCTCAAGTTTTAACAAAACTAAATTATCAAAATCTAAAACAAAGTCAGTCTCTTTGTTTTTTTATTCATTTTTATTAATTTGTTAAAACAAAAATACAATACAAATAAATGAATCGTGTTTTGGTGTGTTTCGGTTGTTATAATAAAATACGCTCAACTGGAGGTAAACAAGCAGCGGAGAAATAAAATACGCTAAAATGGAGTTTTACTTTAATATATTTTACTGTTACCCTCACTAAAATAATAGAAACGGATTAGGGCCTACAATATTGATACGGTTGTAATTTTTTCTAATACTTAACTTAATAATTTAGTATGGGACGATACTTCAATACTTGTTAACTTGGGTCTTGTTACTGTTACTCTTGTAGAATGTAGACTCACTACACAACACTTCGTGACTTCACTAGTAACTTCACTACTAATAAATAATAATGTAAATTAACTAATCACTTACAGTACACAGCACAGTCAGTACTCAGTACAGTTAAGTTTACACACCATACTCCTGAGTAAGGGATAGTGACTTACTCGCTAGGCGCTAGACAGTCAGCGGCTAGACTACTAAATCTAGCACTGTTACTACTAGTACAGCTGCACTACACTAAAAAAAACCACTCCATTACAGTAGCTAAGTAGACAAGTTTACTAAGTTAAGTAGACACTAAGTCAGACTGCCAACTCAAGTCTCAAGTTTGAATTGAATCTGTACTGTAGGACTAGGACGTCCCTGAGTCCACCCAGCTCTGAACAGTGTTTATTCCAGACTTTTTTCTCGGGGGGGGGGGGGGGTGACACTGGTAAAAGTATGTTTTCTATAATAAGTTCCATTTCGTTCGGGGGGGGGGGGGGGGCAGTGGCAGAAGATGCCTGGAAGAAACTCTAACTTAAAAAGGCTGCTGGGCATAGTGCTTACCACAATATGTCACTATTCCCTGTATGGCAAGGTCTTTACAACAGATGAACCCAACGTGATGAATGAGATGATGAAATCTACAAATCTGTTTTCATCTTAGGAGGGGATTTTTATACCAGTGTCCAATAATAGAATCTTCTTAAAAAAGAAAGGGGTGTAATGTTTCTGGTAGTTAACTAAAATAATGTCAATCAATGCTAACCCTAACCCTAGTCCTACCATACGCCTAACTCTAATTTCTAACCATAAAATTAGTCGAGATTACAATACTGCTAATAACCCAACACACCTATTTTTGGGAGAGTCTAATATCGGACATCGGTATCTAAAATCATCCCATCTCAGTAGCCTACTTTTCTTTATTTATATTTAGGTGAGAAATATCCGAAAATTTCAGACTGATATAAAATGTAATTACCTTTAAATGAACAGTAGAAGAGAAAAAAAATATTGTACATTTTTACATAATTTAACACATTTATTAAAATATGGTAGGCCCTATTTTGGGTTGTTTGGATTGACGTTGTATTCAAATTCTACACAATAGAAAGAAGTAGTTCAATTATTACAAATTTTGGGTGCTTCAAAAATGTGAACCTCAGATTCACAAAAAATCGGCATATATATTCTTTGAATTTGAAATATGTTGGCTACTGCAAACAAAATTTTTGCAGACATTTACACACTTCAACAACAGCAAGATAAAAATGTTTTGCAATGAGTGTTCTACCACATTGCAGTTTTTTGTCTTGCAGTTTGCCTCTCCCTCTTTAAAATACAATGTTCACACAAAACTACATACCATTTGTAAAAACACAAAAACTAATGTTCTAGGCCAAGCATCTTTACTTGTAGTAAGTTTGCTAAGCTGCATTGTTAAGCTGTATGTTATTGTCTTTAGGCTTTCATAATATAAAATTTAATGGTGAAACTTTGCACATTGGTGCTTGTAGAGAATGTAGGCAATAGAAATTTGCTAGTAAAATAAAAATTACATTATATAACCATTTTCACAATAAGTTTGATGCAGCGTGCAACCCAGTGATAGTAGTGTGTACCATTTTTGGAACCCATTGTAATTCAAGAATGGAGTTTGATAACCACCTCTTTCCTCTTTACCTCAAGTATAAAATAGTATATTGAAACAGTAACAACTTGAGTTATTAATTAATAATTTAAAATAAAAACCATTATCAATATGAATGATCTAATGAATATCATGTGAAACCATTAGGACTGAGCATCCATTATTTTGTTTGCCAGTAGTTTGTGAAGTATACAAATTAAAAAAAACCCACAAGTCTTTCAGTTGTAATATAATTATTAATAAGTACTATTTTATGATTGTTTTTTTTTTAAACTTTTAAAATTATAATATTAATATTTTCATGTAAAGTTAATTATTTCTACATTTTTTGGTAGATTTTATTTGTTGAATTATTTTGTGTGGTTTTATCATTTCAGGCTACTGCAGATATCTCAGGTCACCACACTGAAATAGTTGTGAGCAAATTTGAAGATTATCTTTTTATTATAGCAACACAGTACATGAAGATAGGAACACTTGTAAGTACTGGTTTTTATCAGTGTTTCTTCCAGACTGTTTTCTCTGGGGGGGGGGGGGGGGGTAAAAAGTATATATTTTCTATATAAATTTCATTTCTTTGGGGGGGGGGGGGGTGAACGAAATGAAACTCTGGAATTTATAGGCTAACATTTTACCATTTAACTTACCATAATTATTAAATAAAACATACAAATTGAACACAAATTTAAATATTTCAGATTCAAATCACAAGAGATGTTGTTTCAGATGAATTTGAAGAAAATGTACCTTTATTTTCAACATATGTATTGATGGGAAAAGATGAGGTTAGCTTCTTCTATCTAAAATTTTTGTAACTTGTTATTTAGTGTTTCAGTACATGCATGTTGTTGTAATTTTTAGTATGATGTATGCATCTTCAACAGTTAAATTTCACTCAAGTATTGACCCAGGTGTTAACTATTAGTAACTATTTCATAATAAGTACAAGTGTAACATACTTGTGAGCATCAAATTTTGTAGCTTAGATCTAGCACATGCTAAGTAAACTTCTGAGGATATACTTAAGCTTCATAAGTATGGTTGGTGAGAGAAATAAACATAGCATGGTCACATACATTTATTTTTTTAATGATAAATGTAATTAAAATTCATACATTTCTTATCTAACATATATTATTAACACTACTTTTAAATACATTCTTTTAGCCAATAACACATGTGATGGCAAGGACAATAGTGACAGCATTAAATCCACCAATACCAGTGATCCTCTCTCTGGCCCTCAAGGATACAAGTGTTGATACTGTACAGGCCATCATTGAACTTATTAAAACTTGTTTGTGACACCATTACCATTGTTAAACATCTTTTTTAAATGTATCTGTATGTTTGTTTATTGAGTGTTGTGAATGGACTTTGCTGCATTGAATGAGTTTGAGAGTATGTGTGTAGTGGAATGTGTTTAATAAAAGATGAGGGTTTGAGAGTATATGTGTCATGGGATTAATAAAAGATTCTAAATGTGTGACAAAGCAAGTAAGGATGTGACATGGGAGAGTATGTTTTGGCTGTTAGGGCAAATAGTTGAAAGCAGTCTGAGTCTTGTTAGGGTGTAGAAGTCTTTGTCCTGTCTGTCATCGATGTAGTCGTGTATAGTATATGTAAATAAAGATGAAAAATAAAGAACGCCGTCCTGTTTGATATGTAAGTGTATTGGATCGTTGTACGTTGTTCGTCAACTTCCAACATCGACCCTGTCCGAGTAACTCGCATCATGACAGGGAGTAATACCCATTTTGACTTAGAAATCAAAGGGAAGATAACCTCACTACATGAAGGAATTGTATATCCTACAATCACTACGCTCCCATTAGCTATGTGTTGAGTTGATAAATAAAACAATTATATAACGATAAACAAAACAATTACACATTTTTAAAATTTATTCGCTAGAAATTAAGTCTGTTATTTTCCTGTACTGCAATAATATCTAAACTTATGTTCAGATAAGTTGAAAAAAAATATCACAGAAGTTTGAGATTGTGGGACTAAGTTACAAAGGGACATTTTCTATATACAATTTTAAGAGCAGTAAAATAATTTGTATTATAATTTGTGTACAAGTATAAAGTACTTAAGATTAGTACTTAAATATTTATCTTTACAAATATCTATGCATAAATACATGAAAATATACAAATGCACTTGAGGAACCTTGTACTTCAAAAGAAGTTATTGGAAGGACGGAGATTTTGATCTCTTGGTAAAATCCAAAGAATATGAGTAAATTATACTCTGTGAGGAATAAAAGCTTCTGCATGAAGCTACTTGAAAACATTGACAAACGTCTTGTGGATCTAGATCTACCTCATCCTTAAGAGAGAAGCTACATAGATCCATATTGACATGACATTGTTGGTATAGCCATGGACATAGACGGCCAGGGCAAACTCTACTTCACTTGTCTCCTGAGCATGAACACCCGTAGAGAAAACAGTTTCTGTGATACTGTCCATGTCTGTGTATGGGATGTTGAGAGGAAAGCCTGAAACCTGGAGGACAAAACAAGGTTTAGATGTTTGATGGTGACATTAAATGTAATTCTGATATTTGATGAGGACATCAGATGTAATACTGATATTTGATGACGTAATTTAGTAAAATAATGCTACAGTAAAAGATGCTGATATTTATTCACCTTGTATGACTTGAAAGATTCTTCCAGGTCTCTGAGGTTAGATTCTTCTATTGGTTTTCCACAGTTCTCTTCTAATCTGTCAACAGGTATGGTGAAAAAATTCATACAACTTTCCATTGATAGAGTATAAGACAAACTTCAATAAATTAAGTTATTTAATAAACTCAGTTAATTTTGAAATGAAACAAGTAAACAAAGAAAAACTGACTTGGGTAAAAGCTTCCTCATAATCTGTGTGCAGTGTCTGTTCCAGCGAGTTATGTACCGACTTCTCCATTCCATGATCTTATTTTTGAGCAGCTGCTCAATTTTCTCTTGCAACTCCATAACAAGACCTTCAAACTTTTTATCTTTGCGTCGATATGTGAGTACATTTGGCTAAAACATTAAAACTGACAATTTTAAAATTTGCATCTCAGGCTAACAATTATAAGGAAGTTCATTTGGAGAAGGCTAGTGTTGCAGTTACCAAAATAATGCATTAAAAAAAATAGAGATTAATATAGTATTATTAGAAAAAATATTCTTTGAAATTGTTTTTTTCCCATAAATCTCACTCCAAAGCTACAACTGACAAAATTATTTATAGTAGTAAATTAGAAAATAAAAAACGAATACAATTTACAAGGACCATAGATTGATAAGTTTCATTTAAAAGTAATATGTTAACAATTCCCACCTGAACTGATGCTAAACCTCTGCTGGGGAAAGATTTATTATAAAATGACTGCCAGTGGCTTGAGTTGTTCAAGTTGAAATTCATCTGGGAAGGTTTTTCATACTGCTGTACATTGGCATAGATCTGTAAGTCAATGTAAGCACTAAGTCAGTTCACTATTTATTACCATCACAACATTTCAAATGTACATTAGACTAGAAAAAGATTGTATAAAACAAAACTTTCTCAAGCTAAGACTGTGACTTACATTCTCTGCATTGATAACACACCCCACACTCTGTATAGGGCAGTAGTTGTCATGGATACCATACTTTTCTCCTGATCTGGCATTCCATATAGAGATGACACCATTATCATCTGTTAGCACATAGGCGGTTCTACCTTCAGGGATTGCATTGCCTACAAGGGAAAGTTTTCATTTGATTAGATATTTATATGTATTGGACTATTACAGGTACAATGCTGAGTAATTATATACCACCTTATGGGACTCACTACAAAATATTCTGCAGATTACAAAAATTACATCAATTTTGTAATTTTTATTGCTAATTGGTCTGTTTAATTAGATGAGTCAAATTTTGCAACCAAAATAAATGAAGGCTGATATAAAAAAACCAAAGTACCATACCTAACAAAAGCCAAGCTTTCTTTCCAAGTCCCAGGAAAAAGTTGGTCAACAGCACTGCATGCTCTTCTTCATCCCCACACAGCATCTTCATAAATTGCTGGGAAACACACAGGGAAGATTTAAATGGTGAGTAGAGGTGTGTTAAATAATTATTAGATTCAGCAGTGAATAAATAAAAAAGTGGAAGCTGTGACAAACACAAAACACTTGAAAACTTAAAACCATTGCCAACAACTAATTCTAAATAATTCATACAAACAAAGCCAACAATTGGCAACAACATAAACAAATTTATTACAAACAAAACAAAATAAACACAAGACTTAAAAAAAATGAAGCTCTAATGTTGCTGTAGTAAAAATTGCTCACATTACAGGTACTCCATATATCACATTGGCCAGGAAAAAGTGCTGTGTCAGCAACAAATGGAATGAGAGAGACATATCTGGCAGCAAGCTCCTGTCACATAAAAAATGTCAGCAATAATATTGGTTATTTTTCATGGGAATCCAACACCATCAAAACTATCCAAACAAAATATATAGAACATCAGCATCATGTCGGTCTTTCAAGACCTCATTATACAAATGGAATAATGTTAAAACATTTTTTTTTAAATGCTTTATAAAAATAAAAGATTTCACCCAATAAGTTTGTTGAATTGTGAAATTACAATGATGTCTTTTAAAACAGAGCAAAATGAAGGCAACTTTTTCTTTATCATTGTTCTTAATATTGAAGTTTTTCTTCTTTCCAAAGTTTAGTATTATGTGTATGTTATGTGCCAAATGGCCAGTTGACTGATTTCAGCCTGCTTCCAATTCTGGATTCGCTTCCATAGCCTTTGTCTACCCAAGAACAAACTACAAGGTAGCAGTTGTTTGATTTAGCAGCTTTCTCTCCTAGATGGGTTGCTGTCCTAAGCTAATGAGCCTCATCTGCCAGAAGGTCCAAACTCAGGACTTGTTAGCAGCTGTGAGCTCTCTCACCTGACCAGGCTTGTCCACTAGAAAGTCTAAAACTACCTAAACAACAAACAAGTTAAGTTGGGTTTAAAAGATTTTACCATGGCCCTTCCTGGATCTGTGCAGCTCTCTACTTCTGGTGGAGGTTTAATTGGCCGAAAAAATCTGGTCACAAAAACATTCCTGCCAGTTGTATCCATTACAGTTGTCTTGAAAATTCGCCCTGGGAATTTTTTTTCCAGCTTCTCTTGCCAAACATCAGCATGCTGGATCAGTTCCTCCTCTTCATTTGTGGACAACTGTTTATAGTGTTTAAAGATTGGTAAAATGCTTAATTTTTGTCAATGATGTTTGTCTAAAATAAATATTTTTAGATAAAATTAAGACATGTAATACATTGAAAAAAATAAATTTATGTTTTAAAATTAAACATCAGATTGTAAAATGAAAATAAATAAATCTATACATTTATGCTATTCATTTATGAGACCTAATACTTCTACAAGTAACTATCTTGAAACAATTTTCAGCAAAAAACAAATAGTCCCTTAGAAAAATTAAACATTTTTATCCCATTTCCTTACATCTCTGTGCTGCAAACAACTAAAACAAATAAGGATTTGAACATATGAAGAACAGGCCATGAAAACAAACAAGGACAAAGGGGTTCACAGCAAACCAACTACTGCCACAGTGTTAAACATCTATTCTGTGCTTGCTAGTGAACAGTTACTCTAAATGTGCTGCATGCTAAAGCGTGTTCCTCATCACCCACTAATGCACTTACCAGTTTCTTCGTAGTCAAAAGCATAAGAATATTAAATGAATCACATTAATTATTGGAGAACATTTATATGCACATATACATGACCACGGTTTTTTTTTCCTAGATAATGTTTCAGGCATATTCATTGCAATTTTTAAATATCTTTTTTGTTTAACTATCCAAACATTTTTGCAGTTATTTACAACTAAAATAAATATTACTATAAATACAAAAATTAAAATATATAAAAATGTTAGCTCATGTTAATACTGGTATACAGAAAATTTAACTTCAGTGAAATAACAAAGAGACTGTTAGTTAATAATACAGAAAGGATTCCATTAAAAAGAAAAACAATGTCTGACCTTTTCTTTGAATGGATCTGGCAGTGTGAGCGAGGGCTCAAGGGTGACAAACATTGTGAGGTAGGTGTTGGTCCTGGCAGCACTGGGGTCCATGTCGACCAGCCCGTGCTGAAGCTGGGACTGATCGTACGTGTAGCCCAGTAGAATAGGGGGCGTGTTTAAACGGAAGGTACCATCAATCTGTGAAAATTGAAATTACAACTTATATAGCTAAAATATTTTTTTTTTAAAAACTTAAAAAAATTTTGGTATATAAATAAGTTTTATTTAGATTCTAAATCTTAAAATCAGAGTATACAAAAAAAAATAAACATTAAAAGCTAAAGCTTTATTCTCGAAAAAAAAGATAATTCTAATCACCTTGTTATTGAAGTAGACTGTTGAGAAAGGAATTTTAATGCTTCCAAGCCACTTTTTCTCTATTCTCTGGTGTACGTTGGTCTCTCGCTGTCTATTGTCCTAAAATAAAAATAAATTAGGAGCATATAGTGTACTTTTCAAAACCTTTTTAATATAAGTTATTTAAGTTACTTTACCTCCGCCACCAACAAAGCCATAAGTCTATTCTATATACTTTACAGAACATGTTATAAAATATAATTTTTGAATCCTGTGATAATTACTGATACAATAAATTGATATTACTGTATGTTTCTGAAACTGTATAAATGTACTTAAAACAAGAATTTTATCTTTTTAAAACATACATATTTATATTAAAAACAAGTGTCAATTGTGACTTGCATGTAAGTATGAACTACATTTAACAAAAAAATATTTAGTATTGTGTACAATAGAAATACAAGTTAAAAAAAAATAAAATCACTCACTTTGCCCCACCCCCCCTAACTATCTAAAAATGTGAGAAAAGTTCATGTGATGTAAATAAACACAGTTGTGTCCCTTCCTTGAGTCTGCACTAGTTAACAGTCTCCAAACCACAACAGTGTGGATTAGATTTCTGGGTGTCTGGATAGTTTATTCCATTTGTACATCTTACCACCAACACATCTGAAGTTAACCAACTGACAGCAATGGAAGACAATACTGAACAAACAGATGTTAATCAAAACAGGAGTGAGAAGCCACCAACCGTAAAATATGGAGAGAATTCAGGTAAGAAAGTTATGCATGATAAATGTATATTAAATATTTACCATTGATACAAATTTTGCTGTAAAGATTACATGAATTTTCTTCACATGGACAGATTTATAAAATTGTTTGAAAATTGTATACAGCTGTAGCATGTTGGGAAATATTTAACATAGTTGTATCAAAGTCAGAAATTAGAATATTAGTTCCAAGACCAGAAATTGACTGTGAAATAGTTTACATAGAAATTGGTTCAGGAAGGTTGCATATTTTTATAAATAAAGGGCAGTTTTTCCCACCAGTGTCTGACAATTGTCTTTCCCAAAATTAGCATTTTTTCAAATAAGTGTCATGTTTATGTTCAGGGTTAGAGTTTTGAGTTAGGGAAAGTTATTGATTTTAGTAAATATTAATGCTAAAATAATGAAATCCTCTTTAAAAGTGGTTATAGGTATAAAAATGTAAAATACTAGTTTGCTAATCCTATCACAAACCCAATGTATATGTTATATCAGTATTAGATTATGCCATAATAATGAAATCGTTAAAAAAAGGGGTGTTTGATTACTGGTAGTTAACTAAATACAGGCAGCCTCATGTGTCTTGGGCACAAAAGAGAAAAAGATATGACACTAAACCTGAGATTACAATACTAACAACCTAAAACCTAGTTTTGGAAGATTCCTTAATCATGGGTAAACCAATACTCCCAAAACCTTAAGTTCTACCCTAACCTGAACACTTAAACTGACATTGAAATACTATTAACAACTAAGCTTTGAAGCCTTGATGATCCACTTGCCAGACAAAGGAATACTCCAGCCCATATCTGTCAAGTATTTACAAGCAAAACAGTTGTTTTTCAAACATTTCCTTCCCTCATTACTGGACATTGGTATGAAAATTATGCCAATTACAGATTATGATTAACTTTTTTTTCCAGGACAAAACAAAAAATCCCTTCCTATGTCTCCAACTTCCCCTATGGAAGCGGAGTCATCTGAACCAAGTGCAGATCAAGGGACAAGCGCCACCCCTATGGGAGCAAGTGCCACCCCTATGGGGGCATGCGCCACCCCCTTAGGAGCATCACAGTCAACATCTCCCAGCTTGGATCAGACTCTTGAACTACAGCCAGGGTTAAGGCATCGAACTCGAGCAGTTAGAGACTTTGATGAAATGGCTACCAGGTTTCATAGGGCTGACCCTTCAGAAAACAGGCCTACGCAGCCTTATGGATCATCAAGGCCTAGAAGCAGAGCAATCGGAGAACCAGAGGAACCCCCTCAGAGCCCCTACAGGTTTGAGCGGCCATCACGTCCGGAGCCCAGAGAGGATGAAGAGGAGATGAGGGGGCCCATGTCCCCTCGGTCTCCATTACCAGCAGGAGATTTGATTGTGCAGGCTGGAATCCTGGGGACAGGCCTTTTGGGGGCAGGGATTGCAGGGAAAGAATTGGTGGGGAGACAACTCAGACAGGAGGGGCTGTGCTATACAGCTAGTGGTGATTCACTCAGCACTGCAGCTCTGGCTCGACCCATCTGGAGGGAGTTGGGTGAGTTTTTTTTTTCTACACTAGGAGACGTTTGGATAAAACATTGTGATATTTATTCCTAATATTTTCTATACATATTTTTACTAAGAATTAAAATATGAAATACAACACTAACCCAGAAACTAGATGAGAAAAATTAAATTTAGTTCTTTAACATACAGGTATTTTTTAATTACTTTTGCTTAGATGAATTATTTCCCTTTTACTAGTATTTAAGGTTTCTGTAAGGTGATTAGAATATTTAAATTTTTCCTGAACAGGATGTTTTGATATGGAGGTGAGCATGGGGACAGAGTCCGACTTCCTCTTCCACAAGAGGGCCTGCACCAAGAACCCTAACCACAGGATGTTTCGTTCACTCCACGACTTCAACGTCCGGGACCTACCCATAGAGTACCGAGACCAGCAATTTTTTGACTTCATCAAACTATCTGCTGAGGTTGTCGCCCATGTTGTCGTGGACTGTGTCAGCCCCAACCGACCTTCGGACTACCTACTCTACAACCAACGAGGGCGCAAATTTCTGCGAGCTGGCACGGGCTGGTTTTGCGGAGATTATAAAATCACCTCTGGGGGCAAAGGCGGGGACTGCCCTTGTCCTGAATGTAAGCTATCCGGCAAACCAAAAGACACTTGGGGCATTTTTGAGCTGTGTACCTCCTCCATGTTTGTTTACGACATCTACGAAGCAGAGTCGACTACGGTCAAGCTGTTCTACAATGATGAGAAATACAAGGAGAGGATCAGTGTTCTGTATGGGATGTACCCAGCACCAGAGCAGAGGCACAGCTCAGACCTGATGTACGTCTCCTGCTGCACCCATGACATGAATGCCATACTATCCCTATCCAACTACATCCCCAATGTCAAGAGGCTTCACAAGGAGATGGTCTGGCATTTCAGCAAGAAGGAAAAACTTCTGGCGCTAATCATCTCACACCCACATGGGCGATCAAAGAAAATTTCATTTGGTACGGAACTGTATCGCAGGAAAATCATGATCCTGAGCAGGCATGTTAATTTTACAGCATACACGTATTACGTGTCTACCTGCAGGGGGAGCTGTGGGGCTCCGGTCAGGGTGTACGGCAACGTTGGTTACATTTATAAAGAGAATCACGTCCACATAGAATCTGAGCGAGACAACAGGGGCAGGAGCGGCATGGCTGTGGAGTGTGACCCTAGGTTTATCTCACTGCCAGATCCTTTTGCATCGCCTTCTCGGGCTCAACCCTTGTAACAAGTTACCTCTGGATAATCAGATCTTTATTTTCATAACAACAAAAATGTCATTAGTTATGACAAGTCATACAGTATTTCAATGTTTGTAATTTTCATACAATAGCATTTTGTAAGTTGACTTTATCAATTAAAACTATAAAAAATTGTTCATATTCAAAAACTTTTTTTTAGATAACACATAAAACTGACCTCTAGAACATCAACAGTCACTTCATCAAAAACATTCAAAAAGATGATGTCATCTATATTTTGTAAGGCTGAGGGGGAATAATCATCATTTGGAACTCTGAAATTAATTACACCATTCAGTTTAAAAATCAATTTTTTTTTGGCATAAATACTTTTTAAAATTAACCTATCTTGCTTACAGTCTATTTTACTTCTACAGATAAAAATCTAATGTTAAAACTTAGGGCCCCAACGGATAAGACTAAGATTATATAATTCACTAACTTTTAGTACAATTAAAAGTATCTTAACTAAAACTTACTTCAGAATTAGTTCAAGTTTTTCATTAAAACTTGGGTTTGGTCCATCACCACGCCTCGTTCTAACTCTAGACCTCTGAAACATGACCTCAACAAATGGGCACACTAATTCCTGAAATGGTTAAATTGGAATCTTAATTTAAAAATATGAAACATGTTATTACGCTTAATAAAAAAGATTGTTCAGTACTGTAATCAAATGTTACAACTGAATTCTATCTTTCCTAGCCCTAACCTACCCCATAGGGATCAACAAATGGCTTCCCCTGCGTGTCTCTAGCTGTTGTACTACCAGGTGCTGGGCTAAAAGAAAAATTGAAAATAAAAATTACTGCAAAGTGTGGATTCACAAGATTGGCATGTACAAGTTGTATAAAATACCCCTTCCACAAAGATTTTTAATCCAAAAAGACTAAGATATTAAATAAAAAAAAAAATCTTGTACATATTTTCATTGTCTAAAGCATTACCATTTTTAGGTTTATTCATTAGTATAAAGACCCAATGTTATAAAAGACTTCAAATGAAATCTGAATAAAGCAAGTATATTTTTTAAAATTTAAAAGCCAACCTGGCGCTAGTCTTGCGAACAGGAACATAAGTTGCTCTGATGATATTGATGAGAATTTTAACCTCCTGGCCATGCAGAGCTTGAGCGGTTACCTTCTTTCTCTCTTTACGTACTGGTTTTAATGGACGGCGCGGTTCTGACAGTCTCATTAGGGATTTAAATATCAAGCTGAGGATTTCAATGTAAAACTTTAGTGATTGAGCCTACTTTTGTTTACCATTGGCCTTTAAAAAAGGAATACTTTTTATTTAAAAAGTCAATTTGTTCAAAGCACATACGCATAATTAGGCGGGTTATCCTCATACACCATGTCTTGCAATGACCGCTGGTGAGAAGCAAATCTGTATTGAGCCAAAACTCTGTTCTTGATCTGCAACATTATATTGACTGTTTAAAACTGTACACATTTCAATAAAAAGTGAATTGTATAGCGAAGCAAAAAACCACAGACCTTTTGTAGGTACAAGTTCACTTGAGCCCTGTGCTGTTCAAGGTCTCCCTTAACTGGGGCTAGCTGTGACTCTTCTCTAAGTTTCTTCTCATACTCCTGACAGAGATTGATGTGTTGCTAAGTTATCAAGGTGTGATTTACATTTCTAATCGACAACCAATAATCAACAATTTTAAAAAAATGTAATAATTAATAGTCTTTAGCAGTTCTGCAGAAGTTGTATTTTTTAAAGGAAACAAACACAAAGTCAGACCTTCAGTATATCTCGAGGGACCTCTTTTTCATTAACAGGGATCATCTGGTACCCTTTAAACATTGGATTTTCTGTGTCCCTGAGTTCAATCATCTTGAAGCGAACGTTGTTTTCCAGCTCTTCCCATGTGGCCAAATTAAACTCCTGCTGGAGGGGTTCAAGCCTGAAGTATTCCCTGGGCTGGAGGAGGGTCTGGTCACTGCCCTGTGTTAATATAATAGCTACAAGGTAACAAGAATAAAAGTAAATGGTGAAAAATATTTGCCAGAACCCTAGCTGATATAAGTGCCACCAGGAATTGGAATTTTAAAAAGAAAAAGTGTTCTGAAATTTAAACATCACATATGGACAATGTCTTTGGTACTCACACTCAACATGTAGACAATGTCCTTGTTGTTGGGGTCATTAGGGTCCAGCCTTGAGTCCTTAAACCAGTGTAAAAGTTTCTCCAGATTAGCCACACCACTGGCACCTATAGCAGCAAAAGGATCCAGCCTTTTCATTTGCCTGTAAGAAATAATATCAAGTTCTACATCCTGCTAGAATGTCCCTGCTTGAGTTAGCTGATACTTCTTTAAACTTTGATGGGTTTATATGGCTATGAAATTGACTTACAGTATACCTGACCAATCAACACTAGCATTTAAATTATAACAGTCGATTTTACAATGTTAAAATGAATTCGTTCACAAAACAAAACCGAGTAGGCAAACTTCATTTTCACTTTTAAAATAGATCTAGTGGTGATAATAACAGTAGACCTCAACTTACATCGCAGCGTAATAATTAGCACCAAATTTCTCCATAGGAACCAGTGGGAGCCCATCCTCTCCAACTGCCCACGCCACGCTGGAGTTGAGCACACCTGAGGTCATCAGGGTCACCAGGTCAGGGACATGACCTTCAAACTTGAAAGCTACACCTGTGTCAAATATTTAAGGTTTAACTTCAAAAGGAGTCTTACAATTAACATCTTGTTATAGTTACTCAAACTTCCAAAATATTCTGATTTCTTCCCCTTTCAGATGAAGTAGAGTTCATGTTTCTTGACCTTGGGATTTGAAGGGATGGTGTGGTCAGCACTATGTCCAGCCAACTTTACTTTTTATAATATGAATCAGGTACCCATCAAAGCTGAACTTCTTTAAAGCAGTTCTTTAATTTATATAAAAAAGCATAACTTAACAACTGCATCAAATCCATTTTTAAATGAGAAAAGTTAAAGTGAAGTAGACCCAGCTTTTTAAAACAGATATAAGAGTAGCAAGAAAACAATTTAAGATAAAACTTTCCAGCTTACCACTCCCCACTCCCTCGTGCTGGTATTGTATTTTCTCGTAAGAGCTGAATTCAACATTCTCTAAGCCAACACTCACAGAGGTAACAGAGGACTCTGGGATAGGGGCAAACAACTCGGCCAACATTCTCCCACTACCAAAACCTGCTGTCTCATAAATCTGTGGAGTTCATTGTATTCAACATTACAATATTTGTCTGTCTGTCAGTGTCATTCAGGTTAAATCTTGTAACTTAATTTTAATCAATTTCTGAGCAATTTTTTTCAAACTCAATTTTAATCAATTTCTGAGCAATTTTTTTCAAACTTTGCATATAAGTGCGTTAGTGATGGTCAGAAACATGTAATTTAAAAAGATAATAAATTAGTTATTAAAATTCATTTAAAGATGGCTAAATGCAATAATAAAAGGGGGGATAATTATGTAGTGCAGATCACTCAATCAGAAAAGGGAACTTCTGTTTATGGCTGGGTAAATCTTTTCTGACACTTAGAAATTAACTTTTTATAATAGTTACAACAAAATTGATAGTTTTATTTTCAAACTTACCTCGTATTTGATACTCTCTGGCCACTCCACAATTTTTAAGTTGTAAATTTGGCCGAAGTTTACTTTAAATTCTTGAGAAAGAGGCCTAAAATGTATAAAGAAAATAACATTCCCCCATAAAATTATAATTCCAAAAACACAATTTATTGGTATATAGTCACTGCTACAACAATCTGTGCTAGCACATATATAAAGAAAAAAAATACTACTAGACCTGGGACCTGTGCGAGATACTTCTTTCCCATTAAAAAGTATCCTGACATAGAGTTTACTTTTGGAGACTTCTTCTCTCCTCAACTGTTCCCCTCTGTTGGCAAAAGATTTAAACAAGTCAAGTACAATATAAAAATCAATACTAATATTTGGGAATTGATAAATATAAATAGCATATTTTAATAAACCGGTAGTGATCTCCCCTAAACTTTCTCGAATATTCTTATATAAAACAACAGGGGATGGTAACTGGGGATATAGTTATGATCTTTAATCCATTTTAAATACTGAAACTTTTAAAAATAGAATAGAATCTCAGTAAAAAACAATTGCGCACCAAGCGAACGCCTAATAAAGGTGTGTATAATAGTGCGCAATAGTATTAGTACTTTATAAATTTACATTAGTTTTTTGAGAAATCGGAAGTAGCGTAAAGTACTACTTCCGGTCAACGGAAATTACTCAAAATTTAACAGAAGGTAGAGAATTAGATCTTTTACTTACATGTGAAATTTCATTTATCTATCTGAAATAGTACTCAAGTTATAGGCTTTTGAAAAATTCAAAGTAGAAAAAGTACCACTTCCGGTTATCCGAAATCGCTCAAAAGTTGATACGGATCTACGATTTTGATATAATACTTGTATATGAAATTTCATCAACCTAGCTGTAACGGTACTCAAGTTATCGTGTTTACACACGGACACACACACACACACACACACACACACGGACACACAGACATACGGACAAGATTGCAAAATTATGTTTTTCCGTATCAGTGAGATGTAAAACGTCAAGATTTGCAAAAATCTCGATTTTTTTTTTTTGCACGATTACAAGACTTTCTCTATACTTCGTATATACGAGAAAGTAAAAAAGGAGATGTAAACACCTTTAATTAATATGTTTGATAAAAAACCCGAGGGGGACTATGAAATTTACTGAAGATTGTTACCTGGTGCACTGGTCTGGAGGAGTGACTGTGGCTGAGTTAGAAAGTTCTGGAAACAGCTTGGGTTCACCTGAATAAAAGATGCAAAAAAAATTTTCTCATCCTATCTGCAACTGATCAGTTTTAAAAAAAAAAAACAATATGGTAACCTGTGCCACAAAACAACATCAGTACACAGGAGGATACTTATAAATGTAAACAGAATAATGATATTTGATATGGTCAAGAATAAACCAACCAGGCCTTCTTTTCTGTGCCATAGCCTTGGCTTTGATCTGTTCCCTTACAGCAGTTTCATCGAAGGCTTCTGGTGGTTCTGGTTTAGCTAAAGGCTCTTCATCAATTATCTCCTGGTCTCTGGCGTTCTCTTCCTGTATAAACACATTTTACATTACACCAATAATGTTTTGATGTCTTCCTACTTCATCACATTTTACATTACACCAATAATGTTTTCGTGTCTTCCTACTTCATCACATTTTACATTACACCAATAATGTTTTCGTGTCTTCCTACATCAACATATCTCAATTTCACATTACACCAATAATGTTTTGGTGTCTTCCTACTTAATCACATTTTACATTACACCAATAATGTTTTCGTGTCTTCCTACATCAACATATCTCAATTTCACATTACACCAATAATGTTTTGGTGTCTTCCTACTTAATCACATTTTACATTACACCAATGTTTTGATGTCTTCCTACTTCATCACATTTTACATTACACCAATAATGTTTTGGTGTCTTCCTACTTAATCACATTTTACATTACACCAATGTTTTGATGTCTTCCTACTTCATCACATTTTACATTACACCAATAATGTTTTGATGTCTTCCTACATCAACATATCTCAATTTCACATTACACCAATAATGTTTTGGTGTCTTCCTACTTAATCACATTTTACATTACACCAATAATGTTTTGATGTCTTCCTACATCAACATATCTCAATTTCACATTACACCAATAATGTTTTGGTGTCTTCCTACTTAATCACATTTTACATTACACCAATGTTTTGATGTCTTCCTACTTCATCACATTTTACATTACACCAATAATGTTTTGATGTCTTCCTACATCAACATATCTCAATTTCACATTACACCAATAATGTTTTGGTGTCTTCCTACTTCATCACATTTTACATTACACCCAATAATGTTTTGATGTCTTCCTACATCAACATATCTCAATTTCACATTACACCAATAATGTTTTGGTGTCTTCCTACTTCATCACATTTTACATTACACCCAATAATGTTTTGATGTCTTCCTACATCAACATATCTCAATTTCACATTACACCAATAATGTTTTGGTCTCTTCCTAAATCAACACATCTCAATTTCACATTACATCAGTAGTTTGCTTCTGTTCCTACATCTTTATTTTACATTACAACAGTACCATTGGCCTCTACCTCTTCTTTCATCATGAATCCAAATCACTATAAAATGACTGTTAAATTGTTATTACAGTATGACTAAAAAAATTTCTAATAATTTTATGCTGTACCTGAGCATTTAAAGTTAAAATCTATAGCTATTTAAAATACTTTACAGTAACAGTAGATGTAGATACCTCTATCCCTTCTTCATCCTCATCTGGCTGTTCATTACGAGGTGAGTCTCTCGACACTTTAGACACCTTTGATGCCTTAGAGCCCCTCCTTTGTTTATTCCTCTCTGCAATGCGTTTTTTTGCTTCTTCCTGAAAAATGACAAAAACATGAAGCAGGGATGACTGGTTGTGGCATTAATAGACACGTCAACTGACAACCAAATGTTTAAAAAATACATTTATCAAATATTTTGTGATATATCAAACAAATTAATACCATCCAAACAAAGTTTAATCCCGACAATAATTATATATTTTTTGAATACTTTAAAAACAATTAAATTAACCACTATAAAAATATTTAAAACATTACCACAGCCTGTAGCTGCTTTTCATATTTTTCCATTTGATCTCTGTATATTGCCTCCTTCCTCATGAAATCCTCCTCATATTTCTCTCTTTCTTCGTTAAACTCTTCCTCCATCTCAAACCTCCACCTCTCTGTGTCCTCTGCTTTGTTAGTTTCTTCTCTGTAGTTCAAATAATATTACAAATATAAATATAAGAAAATACAAAACAATTATCATATTTTTAAATACATCAGTTTTAGAATTAGTTTATGTTTTTATTAATAAAGATATACAATGAAAATAAAATTCAAGTGCTTTAGTCTAGGATCAAGTATACTTAAATTAATTAAAAAATATTTTATTTGCCTAATTAAATTAATTAAAAAAAAAGAAATAAAATGATTACTTTCTTATTTGAAGCTTAACTGGCGTATTGGTAAACTTCTGGGTTTCCCTCAAAGCTTTCACCTCCTTCCATGTGTGAATAATATTCTTTAACAAAGTTCTGTCTGTCTGCTCTTCCTTGTCTCTCATGAAACGTGTTTGTCTGGAATATATTTATAGGAAATCAAATCAATTTAATAAAAAGTAAGAATATATTTATAGGAAATCAAATCAATTTTATAAAAAGTAAGAATATTTATGGGAAATCAAATCGATGTTATAAACAGTAATGTATTTATAGGAAATCTTATCAATTTTACAAAAAGTAAGAATGAATATATGAGAATCTAATTAATTCTTTGAGCTTTTGACATTTCTGAAAAATAAATTCATGGGTTAATAATAGTTATATTTGATGAACTTTTTTATTTTAATAGTGTGAAAGCAAAAACAAGTAACCTGATTTCACTTTTGTAATCTCTTAACCTCCGTTCATAGTTGTCCCGATCTGATACTGACATTTCCCCCTGAAAAAAGAAACTAAACGTTAAACACTTTAACTGACTGACACTTGAATAATATGTAAATAATAATTTTTAACAAGACTACCATGAATTATACAAGAAAGTTTACATAACACACCTTGTGTGAGGCGATGTAGGTGTGTAACAAGTGGGCTGAATTTTTCAAGGCTGCAAGCTGAAACATCATGAAGAAACGAGGTTAGAAAATTAAGTTAGTGACTAACATTTGTTGTTGTTCTGAAACACAATTAAGTAATACATTCCAACATGTGTGTCTTTTGGCTGGTTGACTCAGACTTCAAGTTGGCAGTCTCCAGCTAATGAGCCTTATCTGCCCACAGTCCAAAATCATGTGCACTCCTGCCAGACTATATTGTCCCCTTACCTGAACTGATTCAAGTGGATTAAAACTGACCATGCATGATGTTGAACAAATAATTAGCCCCTATCAACCGCCAGGTCAGATAGGGTACTTTATACTTTTTATTAGCTTACAATATTTTAACTATTAATATTTTGTTATTAATTTTTTTCCTATAATAAATAAAATATTTCTCTACATGTTTAACACTACAAGAAAAATGACCCTACCTTATCAACCAAAAAATCTGTGATATTACGCTTGCTGCGTACGAGATATTCCTCATAAAACAAGGTCAACTTGTTGGCCAGAACATGTTCTCGACTAAACAAGTGATGATGGGTGAAAGAAATAGAGTTGATGTCAACATCTAGCTGATAAAACCCACCTCCATCTATTGCTCCATCTATATACCTGCTGTCAAATTCCCTCATAATTGGCTGGTATTGTGGACAAAAAAATATACAAACCTTTAAAACACAAATTTATTTTAAAACGAAAATTTGTTAAAATATTTATTTTTTGTTAATAAAAAGTTGTCTTAATTAAAAATATATTTATTGTAAAAAATAAGCATGATTTTTAGTCCAAATAAACATAGTTACATTAAAAAAATATGTCTCTATGTAAGGAATCTCTTCATCCTGGAGCTGTGGTCTAGTTGGTGCATCTCTAAGAGGATCAGGTAGAATCACAAGCTGGCCATCTTCACCAAACCATTTGTTCACCTAAAATCAATGCAGCATTGTCAAATATTTTACTTCACAGCTTATTAGGAATTCCACATCATAATAAGGAAATAATTATTAGGCGATTGGTATTTTGAAAACGAATTACTTGATTTTGTTTTTCTGCTTCTTTCAAGAGCCTGTTTTCCATTTTGCTCTTGTTTCTGTCTGACACGTATGGTTTCACACCAACATAAAAACCCTCGTCTTCCAAAAATCTGGGTTCAACTTCACCCCCAACTTTTTCTGTAGCAGGAACTGAAAAAAAATATCAATTTTGTTAAGAAAGGTGAAAAAAAATGTAAGAATAAAAATGCCATTAAATGCTTCAACATTATTGGTAGTATCATTAAATGTATTGGTTAATAAAATACATAACCAAAAAATGTATTGATAATTAGTAGTCTGCTCTTTGTTATTTTGTAATGGATTGTTAATTAACGATGTACCTACCAGGGGCAGTAGATGGGAAGAATAACATTTCAGATTCAGCTTTTTGCACCTTAGCTACATCGACCAACTGAGCTTTTCTGATGGCAACAGGCCCATAACCCTCTTCTGTATAGTCCTCATCCACCAACAGCTTGCTTTCTTCTGTCAAAATCACATTTTTACATCAAATATCATTATACACTCCATGGAGTTACACATTTTAACTAATGAGTTACGTTTATTAAAGATTTAAAGCTGAATTAAAATTTTACCATCTTTTCCTTCTTCTTTTGCTGCCCTTTCCTCTTCCTATAAAAATAAAATTGACACTGTATTATAAAAAATTGAATCATGTCAAAAATGAATTAACTGAGAGGAATTAAAAAAAATGAGAGTAAAATAAATAATAATAATGTCCTTAGAAAGAGCTAATAAATGTATACCATAAGCAAAATTTTAAAGTGATCAATCTGGCTTAATTAACAATTCCACATATCCAAAGAATTTTACAAAGTTAATCTGGTTTTAAAAAACGTGTATTAAAAGCTAACAAAAAACAAGAGTCTTACAGTTTCTGGTTCTTCTCCCTCTGGTTGTTCTGGCTTAGGCTCTGGCTTGTCTTTCTTCTCTCCTTCTGTTTCCTCAGCCTCCGGCTCCCAGGCTCGAGTAAAGAAATCAAAAGCCTGTTCTGCTGTTGGCATGAAGGACAACTGCCAAGCATAGAAGTGTTTATGTCAACATTGTGCTTTGACCAACACAAAAAAAACAAAACAAGTCATGTGCATTCAATTTCAATCGTGAAGATGTTTATGTACATATTAATACAATTTCGTTCCTTAGAACTTGATATTTACATACAGTTAACAAATGTCTATCCATCATGTGAGTATCAGCTAACTTAATAACATAACACTCACAGATTCTTGCTGTTTGGTCCGCTGTAGTCTTAACTGTCTCATTCTTTCTGTCCTTTCCTCTAGCTTTGCCAACTCTGTTTCATTCAGCTGCAATATATTTCTGGTTTTGATTAATCAAGTAAATCCAAGGTTACAATTTAAACTTCTTTCAAATGAGGCAAACATTCCACTTTAAAAAAAGTGCAACTTTTATGAATATATTTTAAATGTATTATGTGTAGTGGAAGTATAAATATCTCAAATGTTTCACTAATATATCAACAGTAGCACAGGTATGTGCATTAAGTATTTAGCATTGGAAGCCTTCAGAAAACATACATTATAAAAAGTATAACATTCTACAGTTCAAAATCAAATTCATTTTAACAAATCAGAACTAGTGAGATAATCCAATACATTGTGAATTTTACTATAAAGTGTTTAGATTTACTACCTGTGAAGAATAAATAGAATCAACTATAAATTAGACAAGTATGTTGGTAATGAAAGATGAGCTCTGAGAATTACCAATTCAGTATTTTGTTTCCTGTTTAATAATGAAACACATACTTCCTCTTTTTTTCTTTTAAATATTTGAACATCTATTTTACCTAGCTGAAATAATTTTAATCAGTAAGAACTAGTACTTGTTTCAAATTTTTTTGTTAACAAAACACAACAGTACAGACATCAGTAGACAGAGAGACACAAGGGAGGATAGCTTGGTGTCAAATTGTTAGTCAATATTGAACTATTTATGAGCGGAAAAAGTTCACTAATGCTAGGAATGGTTATGTAAGCTTGTTATCCAAAGTTGAGTATGTGATTGAAAGTTGAAAGACAGACATTTTTGTTGAAAACAAATCATGCAACCCACAAGGATTTGTTATACATGTATGAAATATACACATTAACTATATATTTAGAGGTGATATCATCAAAATACTTAGATTTATAAAACTATCCAGTTTTAAATAAATTCAACCTAATAGTTGGATCACACCACCTTTTAAAACATTTTTCAACCTAAAGCTTATTCCGACATTTTTTAGTAAACAAAAAACTAATTGCAGACAGCATACAGTAGAAACAAATTAAGAGTAGGTCACCGTAGAATAACAAGGTTATCTTTAGATTGTATTTTTCAAGATTGGGTGACAAGTAGTATTGAAAGGCTTATTCATTTTAGGCACAATCTAGGTAATTGATTACACCATCTCATTCAATATATACATACAATATTAGACATAGACCATTTATAACTCATCTGTTATTGAAAAGATTGTGAGAGGTTATTGAGAAAAAAAATCTTAAGTTTAATTGTAAACTATGTGCATAAACAATTAATACCTCAGTTAGTTCACTCTGAAAATGTAAAAAAGCAACAAAAAGAAAATTGAGTGGTTACAGCTTTTGTATGATTCAAAATTTGTATTGTATCACTCCAGAACTACAAGGTACAAAGATATGCATTATGGAATAGCAATTAGAACCTTTTAATTCTTGGGTGACAAATTGTTTTTGGTCATCCATGTTCCAAAACAGTTCAATATACATTTAAAAAAGAGGGAGCAGATTTTTTAATGTAAGGAAAGAGGTTCCTTCTCAAAGTATTAGGAAAAAAATGAATTTATAATAACTAATTGAGGAAGTGAAAAAGATTAATGATGTTAATACAACAACACATCTATAAACAGCAAGTAACTATATACTAGTACTACAAGCAATCAAAGAAATTTACTCGCACTGACAAATTACAATAACATAACTAGGTTGTTTAGAATGTAAAAATAATTGATACAACTGCATTCTTGAAGAAAAAAGCAAACAAAATGGTTTTATTTATACATGATGCCATAGGAGGATGATTAGAAAATGTAAAAAGGAGAAGAATCAATATAAAGAAAGAAATCAGTGTTATTTAATGTAAAACATTAACTCATAATGTCGTAAAATGATTGAAAGTAGCAACAGAAAGGTAAACAATTTAGATAACAGTAACTACCTCCTCAAATCTTGTTTCTTTTTTCAAAGTCTTCTTCCTTTCATCTCGTTCTAGTTTTTCTATTTCTGCTTCTTCCTCCTCCTATTTCAAATGTTGTAATTTTAACATTTTAAAAACAGCAGTTAAATCAATAAAATAATTGTTTTACTAATTTATTTAAAATCATATTTTAGTAATAATTTTTTTTGGAGATTGTTGCATTTTCTACTATGAGGAAGGAATTTTCACCTTTGCCTTAGCTAATCGCAGTTTCATTTTCTCCCGGATAGTTGTTCTTTTTCTATCTGTTGCTGGCCTCTCTTCCTCTTCCACTTTTACTAAAATGATTTAAATCAATGTTAATTTTCAGCATTTTCTAAGTTCTTGTTAATATGGCTTGACATGGCAAAATCCAATTAGAACAATTAATACCAAAACAATAGTTGTGTTAAAGGATGCCTAGAGTATGTTGAATACAGTGTTGTCATGTGTTTGTCCACTGAATTCCATCATCATTTCCCGTTCGTGCCTAAGACACATGGGGAAGATAAAGTAGAGTTCATCTGCTTCAGAGACCTAGGCCTATGAAGGGATAGCATAGTCAGCACGATGCCCAGCCGCCTTTGTTTCCCCAACATGAGATAGGTACCCATCAGAGCCGGATTAGAACTCGAGACTATTAGGTTAGCAGTCTAGCTCTCTCCCGCTAGCCACGCGCGCCATCCCCATCCACTGAATTTAGTGTAATATAATAACAGTAGGTCCTTTCAAATATGTTTATTTACATCTGCATTTGAAAGAATAATGTGGTCAACACTATGCCCAGCATCCAGAGCTGGGTAGACTCAGGGGCATTGTACTGACTTATATCCTCCAAACTTATCAAAGAACCTGAAGTTAAAAAAAGGCTAAAACCACAAATATTGGGATATTGTTTATGGTTTCATTACCTTATGACAAGAATATTTTAAAGTAAAATCAACAGTTGTCATCACTAGAATTAAAATGAAATAATATAGCCACAACATACTGCTGGTTTCTCTCTCCAAAGTAGAAACAACTTCCTCTTGTGGCAGTAAAGGAGTTGGGGATGTAGAGACAGCATCAGTTGCCAACGTGGGTATGTCCTCTAATGGCATTATCTCTGTAGTTTCATCTTGCAAGGGAGACGTTTCAGTAGAAAGTGCACTGGTTCCTGAAAATACAAAATTGAACATGCTAAAAACAAAAACAGTTTTACTAAACAACAAACTTTGTTTATCATTAATATTAGTATTGTACATAAAAACTTGAAAAATCTACAGAAATAAAATTAACTAATTAAAACCTGCTAGTGCATCTGATAATTCAGTTTCACGTTCAGTATCTTCTAATTTTTTTAGACTCTGGAGCTTCACAGTCTTCATTTGACCAGTCAAATCATCTTTAGGAGTCACCAGTTTTGACAGCTGTATAGTTTAAAGAATACACTTAAAATTTTATACAAGATCTGAAAATACCTCAATTTTATTTAGTTGCTAAACAAAAAAGCCCAACTTCTGAAATATTTTAGAAAGAAAATGTATATGGGGACTCACTTCTCGCTTTCTTCTTCTGTGGCGAGTTTTCAGTTCTCCTTTTAACATTTCAGCTTTTGCATTTTCTTCCATCTGGAAAAAATTTAAAGATATATATTTAAAACCAAAACCTCAAGAGGACATGAAGAAAAGATCAGCCTACACTCAATGGATAAATGATGTGGACAGAGACCTATGGCAGCTTGGGGTCCACAGATGAAAGGAGAAGACAAAAGACAAGTCTGGGTGCCCTCCATGCACTGTATAGAGCCACAGGGAGGGATGGATGTTAATTTTTCTTTTTTTTTCAACATAACTAGAGATAAAAAAATTGGATTTTTTTTTATCTGCCAGTAAAAACAAACTTCTCACCTCTGCTGTTGATGTTTCTCCCTCTGTTTGTGACTGTGAAAACTTTTCATAATGTTTTTCCAATTCTTCATCCTAGAAAATAAGTTAACTAAGTTAGCATTTTGAGGTCCCTTAAAATTACTTAAAATACAACTTAATCTGTGCTGTTCAACTAACATGGAAAAATAAACTCATACCAATGTTGGGTTGGAGACTCCATCAACATCATGATCAGCATCAATAAGTCTTTCTTTGGAGCGTCGTCTTTTGAGTTTTTCCGCCATGATTTTAGCTGCTTTAAAAATAATTTATTAAAACAAATTATTTTAGATATTATTTTTTCTGTGATGAGCCATATTTTTTGCAATTAATAAATAAATACTGTACACATGGATTTTTGCACAGGTTCGGTTACAGAAAAAAGTACAGACGAATCGGGACTATTAAAACAAAAGGCCATTTGTGAAACTTACATTAGAGTTAGAATGATATCCTAAAAACACTCATACTAGCTTTTTATTACAACTGTCGAATACTGCAATCTAAAATCAAAATAGTTCAGTATGATAGACAATTTAAAAATTTGTTGACAACAAGCAACAACCTGCCAACAGAATGGCCAGATTAATCAGTTCTGAAATTGTCAAAATATCTTTATATGCAGACTTGAGACTACTACTAGATCTACTAAATCTCCGAATATTGCTAGAATCTACTGTTTCCAAAAAGGTGCTGAAGATTTCAAGTAGATCTATAATTAAAAAAAATAATTGTATGCATCTTTTAATTCTTTCATTTTATAAGCAATAAGAACAGACCGACTTCTGCTAAGCGTAGAATAAACATACCTAACATGAATAACATTTTTCTAAAAATAAGTTTGGAATTTTAACTGCCATAATATTTATTATTAGACGAGTCTCTTATTAATTTTATTATTTAATTAATTTTATTATTTAAAAGTGAAAGGAGAGAAATAATTTTGGCTTTATTTTTCTGTTTTTTATCTGGTTTAGTAAACCCCGTCCCTAAACAAGTGTCACTGATCACTGCGACTGTTATCTTATTCTTATCGCAACGTATGACATCCATTCCCATCGTAAACCAGTTTTAATTAGATCCAGATCTGGTCTTTATATTAAAGAATTAAAGCTATTTAATAGTAGGCCTATTTATTCTTGATTAAATTTGTGTTTATCTTGTACTAGCTCCAGATCCTGCAAGTTAACTTTCACAGTCACAGTGAGTCACAGGTGAACTCAACTCAAGCCTTGAGTCTCAAGGCCTAACTACTAAAACTAGAACTAGATTTTAGAGATCTAGATCTAGAAAAATCTAGTACTATAGATCTAGATCTAGTACATGTTGTAGGACAGGTAGTAACTGTAGACAGTAACAGTTGTACTTCTACTGTACAAGTCTAGATCTAGACTTAATTTTAAAGTAAAGAATAAGATCTACTCTACAATTAATAAACAATTACAATCTAAATCTAGATTGTACTACTTAACATAACTTTAGTCATTACCCACAATGCCTGACAATGCTGTTGTTGTGCTTTGTGATTATTGATTATCATTAGCCAACATTTAGCAATAAATAAATAATTAATTAATTACAAATTACTTGAAATTAGGGCCTACTTTATGCAGTTACTAATTTATTTTAGTACCAATAACAGTACGTTTAACTTTGCAACTTTGCCTGTCTGCATCAGTAATCAGTAAGGCTGTAAATATACAATATTATTATTATTATGAAGGTGCAGATACAGTATTCTATATACTATATAGATTATCATTTAGTGTTTATATCAAGTCCCCCTACCCTCCTCTACTGGCATTCTTGTTAGTTGTTTTCATAAACAATACATACAGGCCTAATCATAGTAACATATGGGCCGGCGTGGTCGAGTCGGTAAAGCTCATGGTTGCTAAACCGAAAAGTCTCGAGTTCGAACCCTCGGGCAGATGAGGCTCGTTAGCTGGGGACAGCCACTCTTCTAGGAGAGACAACTCCAATATCAAAACAACTGCTGCCTTGTAGTTTGTTCTTTGTTGAACAAAGGCTATGGAAGCAAATCCAAAAAGAAAAGCAGGCTGAAATCGGAGTTGGCTTCAATGGCGCATAACCAGTTGACACGTATCCTTAATTGTGATGGAGGCGTGGTCGAGTCGGCAAAAACTCATGGTTGTTAAATTTGAAAAAGTCTCCAGTTCAACCCTCTGGTAGATAAAGCTCGATCCCATCCAACACTAAAAATTAAGAAGGAAGAAGAAGAAGATAGTAACACAAAACAGTGAGCACCTAATAATAGCCAATATGCTTAATTTGCCTTTAAAAATTAAAGTGCTTAAAGCTAGTGTTAAAGAAGGCTATTTTTATGACATCATATAACCAAATCTTATTATCTATATATATAATTCTCTTCTGGGATCAGTTAGAAAACAAGCTGCAAGCGCGCCTTTGCAGTCCCCTCTCTTCCTCTCTATCACCATCACTACCACCCCCACCCCACCCCCACATTGTCTGGTGAGCTGTGGTCACGCTGTTTACATTTTACAATAATAGAGACGGGTTTGGTGACGGCTATTAGGGGCAGATTATTTAGTTTGAAACGATTTTAAACTTAGAGGAGGTAACTAAGAGGAGGCTGCTTTCACGTGGGGGGAGGGGGGGGATGGGGGGGTTTAGTGTTTTTAAGCAAATATTTTCAGTGGCAGCATTGGTACTGTCAAATTCACAAATTATAAATTACTGAAAAGTAGAAAAAAAAACAACTAAATAGCGGCGTATGATACGCAGCGGGTCGGCTCGCTATTTATATAAAATCTGTGGGTACAGCTGATTAAATAGAGCTGACAATAAGAAAGTAGCTAATATAAAACTAAAAGTAGTTTGATAGAGAAAAACTGCAAATTGTTTGTTGAAAGATACATTCTATAGATCTTTATGCATTTTACATTTTCTTTCAGATCATTGCTTCAGAATCTGTTAGAAACCATGGCTGCAAATATTGCCACAGAAATGCTTTTAAATCAGGTTACTGATTACATTATGAATGTTAGCATGTATCCTGTGTTTTTCTCAGCACATTTTATTCTTGGATGTCTGATTGTTCGAGAAGACTCCAAGGATTTAGGTAGGTTAAGTAATAATTGAGTTGCTACGGTAGTTAATAGAAATCAGTAACAAACACTGTGTATTTTGTTTGAGGTGTAGTTGTAACTGTTCATTCATATAATTTCATAGCATAATGAATAAATACAATTACACTGAAAGAATTATTTTAAAAAAAATTAAAAATTTTTTTCTTTCAATTTTGAAAGGTTCTAAATTCAGACAGAATCATCCATTTGCTATGTGGTTTTGTTCTGTCATTGCTGGACTATCTGGTGTATTTGTAGCCAACTTTCTTTTTGGAAATCCTTTGGTTGACATCTTGAAAGAGCATCATTTGATATTGTTAGTATCACTCTTATGGTGAGTCACCTCTATTCTTTTGCTGTTTTTTTAAATGTTAATATTTATACATGGATAACTTTCACTTACAGCAAGCTGTTTTGGTGAAGTGGGGGTAAGCAGACAGGCTAATGTTTTATTGATAATATAAAATTGGACATATATGGCCAATAATTTATAAAATTGCTAATTTCTTATCACAATAGGTTTGATATATTATGCCTTGGGATAAGCTACACAATATATTTCCTGAACTAGCCAGTAGTCTTAGCTATAGTGTCAGAATTATTATACTGTATTTTGTAATATACAGCATTCAAAATTTAAAAAAAATTCACTTTGAACAGGTATCTCATCAACTATAGCCCTTATGATGTAGTGTACAAGATTGTGATGTTCAAGCCTGTCAAAGTCATAGCTGCAGTACTGCAAGAATTTTTAAGAGTGAGGTTTATTTACTTGGGATTTCATCAAGCTGCTAAGGTTTATCCTGGTGCATACATAATTATGTTGCTAGGTGGAGCAATTAAAGGTATTGTTAGCTTAACATTACAAGTTTTAATATTGGTAAAATTAATTAGAAATTTTTTGTAAACAGCGTTGAATTGAAATATTCTTAAAAATTCTTTATATATATATATATATATAAAATCTCAATATAAATAAAAAAATAGTTTTTTTTAACTTGATACTGTAGTTGCTTATCTTGTTTCATTATAGGAAATGGATATGGGTTTATTAGAATAGTTGAACGTCTTATTAGAGGAAAATGGACACCCACCACAAATGAGATCCTGGATGTTAGCTAGTAAGTGGTTACTTGAAATTATGGTTTTACTGGCCAGCCAAGAATATAAAAAGTAAACACAAACGCAGAACTTTTTTTTTATGTACCATAATTAGAATTACAACATTTAGATGTCATTTTGTTTTTTATTATGATTGTTATTAAGTAGTACAATGTATTTTTCTCCACAGTTTTGCCAAGTCTGGAATGTATGCCAGCTTTACCTTTTTGCTGCACCACCTGCAAGTGATTCCTCTCCAAATACAATATCTCTACTGTAGCATTGTGGCAATTTTTGTCTGTCTTAGATTAGTAATTTTATTTCGAGGGGTTACAGACCCCTTGTTATCAATAGAAAAACCGGTGTGTGCCTTTCTCTTTGGTAGTGACACAGGTAATAAATTGAATGTTGCAACTCCAGAGATGAAAGATAAAAAGATTAAATAAAATACTTAATAGTTTATATTATTATAATTATATAAATCTCTACAATGTTATAATAAATACTTCTTACTCAGTACTTAATCTTTCAATGGTGTACACTGAACATTAATCTAGTCAGGAAACTAGCATTACAAAAATGTTAATTTAAAAAAAATAATAAAGACTTGTAAAGCTATAATTTTGTAATTTCCAATATAATGTAACAAGGAAAATCATTTGTTAAGGATTACAAAAATGTTTACCTTTGTCCACTTAATGATAGTAATTAAATACTTTTGAAGCTACGATTTGCTAGAAAACTGTAATTTAAGAATCATTCTTTGTAAACTAAATAACATTTGAATTCACTTGTATTTTATTAAGATTTGCTCAAGAGGTATTAGAAATGTACAGAACACATAACCTAACAATTATTTCTAATTGTGCACGTCTCTTCATAATCATAGAGTATGTGAAAAAGAAATATCCATACTGATTGATTTTACTGACTGCAGTGTGTAATTGATAGGGGACTGAATGAGTATCAGTTATTACTTGATTGATGTAAAAACCACATTTGAAAAATGTTGATTGATAATTTAGTCATTCCTCCCAAGTAATTTGATAAATATTATTTCTTCATTTAATTTTAAAGGATTGACCAATTTATTCATTTTTGTGATGACGCATTTTATACATTTGTGTATACAATCACTAAGAAATCATCATAATTAATAATTTTGGTACTAAAGTATTATGTATTGAACATATCATATTTAGTTACCTCTGGTAATGAACTTAAAACATCTGTAATGCTGTAAAATGTTACTTGTATTATTATAATTATGAATACAAACTTCAGTTTACTTGCCCAACAGCATGTCTAAGAAATTCTTAAACATTATTTTATATTTCTAAAAAGCTTCCATTTTACAAATTCTGCCAGTTTTGGGTAAATTTTTAATGTTGCCATATTTATTTAAATGCATATATCATATGCCTATTTTTTAAAACATGTTGACAGCAAGTTTAATAAATTTTAATATCACACTCCAGTTTATTAGTTATTTGTTTTTGAAGTGGCATATTTTTTTGGTCATTTACATAATAAATCACCAGAAATCTATCAAATAAGTGTTTTGAAGTCATTACCACCACAGTTCAGATTTCTTCGCTATGCACACAAGTTCAGAATATTTTGTCAGGCACTTTATTTTCATCTACAGGTGAAAATAGGCACAAATCTGAATAAATAATTAACTGAATGCAACAGGCAGATTAGGGGAAACAATCTTTCATTTGCTGAGGACATGCATTAGTTTAAAATGACTTTCATCTGGAAAACACCACCACAGAATAAATGTTTACAGTTCGTGTAATATTTAAAAAATTCATTGGTTTAATTTCAAAAGGTGTCTACACAGAAGAAGTTTACAACTGGTTAAATTTTAAATGATATATAAAAAAAAGTTTATATTTAACAACAGAACAAATTAAACTGAAATATGATTTTGACTCACTAATGAAATAAGTGTAAAGCTGCAGGATATTTGACAAATAGAACATGTTCATCTGCAAAAGTATGTATTCTATGCATGCAAATTATGCTAACCACCAAGAAAATATGTTATATTAAAATGGCACAAGTAGTGATCATAACATTTGCTACTATAGATGCAATTTATTTTTTAAAACTAACCTGCTAGAAAAAGTGGCAGGTTAGTTTGGCATACAACAAGGGATCACTTAGTTAAGACATAAAATATCTAATTTTTAGGGGTACATTTATGAACACATTTATGAACCACATTATGCTTAAAAAAATGAAATATTGAACATGGGAGTATTTTAATTGAATTAACAATGAATAAATAATTGAAAAATGAACATAATTTAATTAAAGACTAGACTTTACTTAAAATGCACATTCTACAAGCATTAGACAGAAATTTGCGCACACACAAAAATAAATGTCCAAATGACTAAAAAATGCGATAGCATTTTGCTTTTTCATTATTTTTTAAATAAAATATCTATTAGGACACCCATAATAATATGATATGTTTGTAATAAAAGTCTTTATAAATAACTATGAATCATTAATCACACTTAAAACCATCTAAGAACAACATGCAAACTGGTAAAAAAACAACAGTCTAAGCAAAAAATCTGTTTAATATAAAAAACACACACACAAAAATAGAGAAAACAAGTACAACCAGCAATGAGGTTGTTTTAAAACAAATTAATAAATTGATTGTTAATTATGACAAGAACTACTTCCTATGTGGGAGAATAACAAAAAGCAGATTTTGTTAAAGACCAAAGGGTGTGGAATGTGGAAAAATCTTAGGTTAGAAGGAAAAAAAACCTGGGTAGTTCAGTTAGCATGGAACAGAAAGTTGACATTTGCTAACACTGATATATAAAACCTGAACATTGAACACTTATTATCACACAATGGTATTCAAGAAGTTTTATTTGTATGTAAAAACAAATTAATACTTAGTAGTAACTAGCAGGGTAAAAACAAACTGTTATTGGTTATCATTATTTTAAAATATCATTCCAATTTATTAATATAACCAGTTTAAATGTGTAATGGAAGTTTTGATTAAGATTGATTTATGCTAAAAAAAAAACAAACAACTAGAAAACAAACTAACCATTTGAAATAGAAATGCAATTGTTAAAACCTACAAATTCAAAGTAAATGTCTAAAGCGTTAAGTGTATGTCCTAAACATAGTTCTTGTTTTTGTTAAGCAAATTTGTTATTTATAAAAACTTAACTATTCAATTAACACTACAGCTACAACATGTTAGATATGTTTGAATGCATTATTTATAAAAAAAAACATGGTTAAGTAAGTTTCTTTTCATGTAAGATAAAATTGATCATACAAAATATAGATAAATAATGAATTTTGAAAAAATTAAATAAATTCAGATCTATATAAAGGTAGATTGTCAGGTTTAATACTTAGATAAACTAACAATGAAATCAAGAAGTTAATTGTTTTAAAGTCTATAATTCAAAAACAAAGTTTAAATAAGGAATGCTTGGTGTTAATAGTTAGACTATGTAAACTCTGGTGTAACTGTCAGTAAATACTTAAAAATTAAATACACTGTAACATTTCAATAAGTATTAAAATTAATCATATCTGTTGTTTAGCAATTCAACTGAGATCTATCTATTGAGTTTTGAGCAAAATTATTAATACTACATTTTTCTAAAACTTGAAGACTTGTTTTGTTTAATTGCATCCTCCAACATTTGTTCTTTAGTAATTCAAGATTTTGATATCTAAACAAACTTGTTAAAAATAATTTTAAATCACAAATATGTTGTTAACAAGAAGTAATGTTTTGTTCTCCATATTATAAATAAATTATGAACTTGTAAAATTGTTCAGCAATTAAAATAAAAGATTTATTGGATACTCTAACTTCCATGTCTCCACTCACATACTTCACTTTCATGTGTGCAATACTATTTCTGTTTCTTTTCATGTCCATTTCAACCTCCGAGAAAAAAAAAACAAAAAAAAAACAAACTATGTAACTACATCACACTTTATAGCACTATCTGTGATGGAGCAATTATCTTCAACTTAAATGACCACTCAATATTGCACAATTCAATTGTTGATTTTTAACTCACCACTTTTACTTGTTCAATACAGTCGCTCAGTCTGTAAGCAACTTAATAATTTATTTTTTATACACTTTTAGTCTCCGGTTCAGTCTTTCTTCTTTTCATCCTTTGGCTTAATGACATCATTTCTTGGATCTTTGTTTTCATCCTCTTTGGCTGGTTCCTTAGATGCAGCACGGCGCAAGGCATCCCACATTCCACCCATGAAAATGGCGCAGAAAAGGTTCTCAATAGGAACAAATGGGTCATGGATGCCAAGGACCACTGATGAGATTTTAAAGTAGACGAAGAAAAGTACAACACCAAAGTAGATAAGAGGATGAGGTACAGCAATCAGGTTCAGACGTTCACACAGGAATACTATGGAGGCTACCAGACTGGCTTTTGTAGCACTGAAATAAAAAAATTAAAAAAAAAATTAAACGAAAACCAAACACTAATAGCACAAAGACAAATGAACGTCTGCTATGTCTAGTTATCCATAAAAGAAAATTGTGCACATGCAACTCACAAAGAAGGCTGCAAAATTTCATTACTGCCAGGAATCCAAATACCTCTGATCAGCCTGTCAAAATTTTTCATTACACCACTTCCAGCTCCTAAAAGAAAGAATTTCCCTTGAAAACAACTTTGAACATTTTACAATTATAAATTAGCAACAATATTTTTTTTTTACAAGTCACAATGTTTAAATATTTCACCCATACAAATAGCTATAGCAAACCTTTAATAGTGCCAATGATGACAACAATAAGGTAAGAACTGGGGTAAAGTTTTGCAGCTACCAAGACTCCATGGTATACTTTATGTGCTCTTTGTGTTTCCTTAAGCATGCAGATAATTAGCTTAAATGGTAGAAATTTGGCCAATTTATACACCAGATCAAATGGAGAGTAGTTTACTAGATACCTGAAATCAATAATACATACATATAAGATACCCAGACAAAATAATAAATAGTGATTTAACATTTTTTAAAGAGCTAAAAGTCAATAGTCAAATTTTTTTATATCTAAATTTTAATTCTACCAATACAGTGTTCACAGTGGATGAGCTAGACAGAAGTTTGGTTTAGAGATGTCTTTGGTGCTACAATTATAAGTTCACCTTACCAGACAGCTGTTGCTGTAATAATACTTTGGTGGTCCTTGAAAGGTGTGATAACAGGCTCTCCTAAGAGAAAGTTGGCTACAATGCTACCTGCAAAGCATATTAACATCGAGGACAGCCAACTGGACAATGGATGTTTACGCGAAAAAGGTTGAGATGGACTTCCTTGGCCTAAAATTGACAAAATAAAATAAAAAATGTATTAGGTTAATATGCTTTTGGTTACTTCTTCTAACTATTGAATACTTCTTGTTTCAACATGTCAGAGGAATGACAGAATATATTTTAAAGGCCTACTAGTACAAATAAAGCGATCAGATTATAGATATATGTGTTAGATTATTAAATGTACAGAAACAACTGGTGAACTTCAAAGTATTGCACTTTTGTTGTTTCTTTGCTAGGACTTAACTCTTTTACTTGACAGAGCAGTAGACCTACCAATAAATATAATTGCAAATAGTCTGGGAAGACCACTTGATTATTTTTAGTTACATTTAATTATAAATAGGCCTATGGGCTAAATATTTAATAGGGTGTCTACTAGAATATCTATATATATAATTCTCTTCTGGGGGCCGTTAGAAAACAAGCTGCAAGCGCGCGCCTTGCAGTCCCCTCTCTTCCTCTCTATCGCTACCACACCCCCCCCACTCACATGGTCAGGTGAGTTGTAGTTCACGCTAAATGTTTAGTTTGGTGACGGCTATTAGGGGCAGATAATTCAGTTTGAAACTATTTTAAATTTAGAGGAGGTAACTAAGAGAAGGCTGCTTTCACGGGGGGGGGGGGGGGGGAGAATGGAAATAGTGGTTGAATGTTTTAAAGCAAATAATTTCAGTGGCAGCATTGGTACTGTCGAATTCACAAATTATGAATTACTGTAAAAGTAGAAAAAACAACTATATAGCAGCGTATGATACACCGCGGGTCGGCTCGTATTAACTAAATAAGTTCTACATTTAACACTAACAACAATACCACTCTTCCATTTGTGAGTTGACCAGTGTCAATAAAATACACCCTCTTTTTAAAAAAAATAGTAACTCCTATAGTTTAACTATAGGCCTAGTAGATTGTTATTTAAACTTAATAGTTAGTCTAGGACCTACAGTCTAGGCCTAGATTCTACTTACTTATAATACTTAACTTACTATTATTAGGAGGCCTATAGTATATTGTTATATTAATTGTTAGATCTACTCTAGAAATATTTAATTTAGGTCCTAATATTTTTTAATAATATAGACTAGGCCTATATACTATATATATAGTATAGTATATACTATATAGTATATAGACTATCCACTATACTAGAGATGAAGAGATCTAGAATTAGATTATTAGAATGATCAGCAGCCTCAGAGTAACATTACACATTAGGCCTACTAAATTTAACTAGATCTATAATAAATTAATTAAGTTAGCAGAACTTTGTTATAAATCATGTTTAATTAAATGCTTTACTTTAACTTTAGGCCTAGAATGCCCTAGTAGATCTAGATCTTCTAGATCTAGATCTATTTCTTATTAAATAAATGAGTCCTACTTGTTACCAAATGAAGATAAAAATAGCACATAACCTGCAACTCAGCACCTGCAAAAGCACTCACCTATATAGAGTCTACACGGCGGTGAGTCAATGAGCCACACACAATCGGAACTTTGCACAAGAAGTTAGTTAGGGCAAACGAAGGTTTTAATAATAAAAAAAAAGACTAACCTTGCTGCTGGGGCAACACATCTTCTCGAACTGCGATGCACATGAGAATGTAATGTGCTATATCAAAATAAGGGTACATCTTCAATTTTGTGACCACTGTAGCAACATCCATATACGTTTGAGGATCCATTTCTAATAGATCTAATTTTAAAGTGATGCACTATGAAAATTCTTTCGAAAAACAAGGCAACGGATCCAGCAGTGCTCGCTTCGGTATTCCCAGTCTGGCACCGATAAAGAAAGGAGCACTACTGGTATAAAGTGGGTTATCGCATGGAACACGTATCGATTCTTTTATTATACGATACTTTGCGACGCGTCTATCTGAGGTTGTTTTTTTTTTCAACGATAACAGATTTTAGATCTTAGTCTAGATCTAGATATTAGAATCTTTTTAAAAAAATCAAGTAAATAGAACAGACAGTTATTATATTTGAGGTTTCGACAGTAGCTTTCTAATAATTAATTGACAATAGAGCATATCTTTCCCAAAAAGAACATTGTTTAAGCTTTTACATACAGCAGCTGTTTTGTTCTTGGTTTAAATACAAATAAAGACTTGCTGGAGATATCTAGATCTACATAAAATATTAACGTTTATGTTAAGCTGCATAAGTTTGTGCAGTGATTTTGAATGGCTGTTTTTTTTTTTAAATACGCTTACAGTCAGTCAATTATTTTTATTTATTTATTTATTTGTATCCGACACGAGAATTTGCTCAAATTTTAACTAAAGGCCAACATTTAAAAATCAGTGCATATTTAATACTTTGTCTTTTTGCTATATTTTATACAAACAAGATGCAAATGTAGCTAAAATCGTTTCTTTCTAGGATCGAATACTGTTTATTAAAGTGAGTATGCCCGCCTATGCTAGGCCAGGTAGAGGTCTAATGAAAGCCAGAGGTTCTATTTTTATAAAACGGCAATCGTTATGACCTGTTCTATTAAAACATAAGCTTTTGCAGAAGACTGAAATTTTACCCCAGAAACAATTAAATAAACCAATCAGTAAGAATTTTCCCCCAGCTGGTCTACGTTTCCCCCCATAAACAACGAAAAGCTTCTGCCATAGCTAACGTAAATTTATGATTTAAGCAGGCCTATTGTATTATTCGAACAGGCCTACTAATAGACATCCTGTGGTAATTCATGTTCAACAACCTGTGATTTTAGAGCCGTGTACTGTATGGCTATTGCCCTTCTTAATAAAGAGTCGGGAAGATGCACATATATACTTTGTTTTGATGTAATGTTGCTACCAATAAGTAAAAACCTATAAAAACGGAGTGGCGTAGGTTGGGGAAAGAGGGGGTGGGTATATCGAAAAGAATATCTTTAAACCGATTGTTCTAAACAGCTAGTTGTAGACCCATGCTATTAGGCACAGTGAGAACAACTCAGTGTCAAAATGGCCCAAACAATATTGTTCATAACAAAAGTTTACTTGAAGATCTCAATATGAAAGTGTTTTAAAGTTTCCCAAAGAAGATTGTTGTATTGGTGAACCAAGAGAATAATTTGTATCACAAGTCTTATAATAAGGCCGCATTTAGAAAACGCTAATCTAAGGGGCAGGGTAGATAAATGAAAGGTACAAGAGATTTATTGTTAGTGGCTTTATTTAAGGCCATAGTGTTGATAGTAGTGAGGGCATTATGTTCTCTAGTGCTAGTCTGGAGCTATTTTGACAAGGAACAAATTGACAGGGGCCCTTGTGTTTGGGGCCCTATTACTAGGACTCGTATGAGCGACTTTGTTAAAAGCTGTTTTGACTGGGTGTCATATTGTTGGTGATCTTTTTTGTCAGTGGCTAAGGGATACTATTTGTCAGGGGCCATAGTCCTTTTGTTGGGTCCTTCGATGATGTATCACAACTTACACAAGGCATGCAAATCCTCTTATTTGATATAACATTAGGTAACATTAATATTTTCCACTAGGAAGTATGAACACATACACTGACAAAAAACCAAATATCACTCAGATTGCTAATGACCTTTTTAATCATGTAAATCATAAAAGAATAACATTCATTAAATTCTCTGAAACATCCATGAAGTGGGTCAGTTTACAAATAACATTAAAGTATATGCTGACAATAAATTTGATGTATAATTTAGTTAAACCTATATTATATAGTCCAGCAATTTATTAAAATTACATTTAATATTTAAAAAATAAATATTAATAATAAAGTAATTTTAATAATTTTTAAAAATTGCAAAAATAATTAGTGTTTAATTAGGTCCTTCCCCCCACCTGTTTTTAAACCGATAAAATCAAAAGTTTATTTCAATGATTATCATTTAGTACAATGAAATGTTTTCAAGCTATAGTGGAAAAACTAAATTGTAATACTTCAAATGGTAAGCAATCTGTAGGGCCTATGCAACTATGATTGATAGAGAAAATATCATATGCTAATAAAATTCTTTTATACTTGTGTTTAGTTTTTCTTATTAGGTAAAAACTGTAAAGCAACTTTATATACAATTTTCCAAAAAAAATTTTTTGTGTGAAATTAAATAAAAAAAGAAAGAAAAAAGATTAATTAATATGATTTTACAAGAATGAAAAAAAATCCTAGATGTTTAAAAAAAGTCAAAGCAAAAAGAAAACAGATTGCCATATGATAATTCAACAAACTGTGGGGCTAAACCCCTGTAGCAAACTGTACTTACACATATTATAATATATACAACAGTGAGAGGAATCTTAGTCAAACCAACCGTATCACACCAAATCCAAAAAACACTTTTTAAAAGGAAAAAAAAAAGACAGCAGAACATTTAATAACATCTTTGCAGCTTTCATTGTAATAAATAACCGTTGAGTTAAACAATGCAGTTGTGTGTGGTATTCTATCCTAACTTTGTGGTCAAGTTAATGAGCTGTTTAAATCATAGATATCAAAACTGGTATTGGTTACTATGCCTGCAGAAATCACAGTATTGTCACATTTACTAAGATAATAGTCTAATGTAATGATTTTTTCTCTCTCTCCTCTACATCATGTCATTAAATAACGTTACTTCTCACTCACGCACACACAAAATCAAAATTGTACATCTCAATAAAAAAGATGGAACAAGACAAAACATGATTAGTTTTTCCAGGAATTAGATGAGCAAAAATATAAGCTCAATTACACCTGATACATTGAAAAATCAATTTTTGGCTTCTGTAAACATTTTAAAATTAGTTTACCAATAAGCACATGCATTTATCCTTTTGGTCTATTTTTTTTTTGTAATTGCTACATAAATTTGAAGGGGAGCTAGCATAATGTTTTGATACAAATTTGAAAATCTATCAAAGGTTATTTTAACTTATATTCATTGTTTATTTGAAAGCTTAAGAAATACCAATGTGAAAATTAAAAACATATTTTTTAAAGAAGTATTCCTAATAACCACAACACAATTGAGGGCAGTTCTGTTCTGTTTTTAAAATCATTCCTATCAATGTATTATTTTAAATTGAAAATATCATGAAATTTATATAACATTTATTACTTATTTTAAAGAAAGACAAGTTAAAAAAACTTGTTGATAAATCCCCTCACCACTATTAACAGCAAAAGATTAGAAAGACATGAATGTATATGCAATATTAATTTACAAATATCCTAAGATACAAAATAAAGGGAGAGAAAGTAGTGGCACATCAAAGTTGTGTATAAGCTGATGAGATCAAAATGGATATTTCAAATCTTTCTATCTTTAATCCGATCACTAGGAAACAACTTCAGTTTTATGTATGGCTTTACCTTGTTAATTACTACCCACAGGCCAATTATGAAATCCAACAACAGGCTTTAGCAGCTGTTTTTAAGCATGGATTTGAAATTTAAAAAAAAGTTATAACGTCTCCTTATCGAAATCATGCAAGGATTTTGAACTATTTTGAACAATATTTAAATCCATTCTGCACTATCAATATCATGTCATTTATTTACTAAACAATTTAACAATTACATTACTGAGTATTAAAACCTGTTTAATAATTATTTTAGGCTAAATACAGGAATTAAATGGTGTGAAAACACAAATTAAAAAAAAACTGGGAGAGCCATTTTTTTTTTTAGATTTATAGAGTTTATTTATTACATGTTAATACAGTTTGAGTCCCCCTTCCCCAGACTAGTAAAATCCTGAAATATGAAACTTTAAATACTATGTTTTTAAAATTATGGTTTAACCATGTGTACATGGAACTCTCATACTCTTTTAAGAAATTTCTGAAAGCAGACATCATGTTGAAAACAAAGTCTATAATTGTTAAAAATAACTGCAGCAAATTCAATTTGTTGAACAGGATGAAGGAATAACAGGAAATTAATGACTGGATTGTTGATATGAGCAATAGCCAATCCAAAATATTTAGTAAATAGAATAATAATAAACTGAATAACACAAAAATAAAAAAAAATTCCTTAAAAAAATGACCAAAAAAAATGTAAAAAAAAAAAAGCAAATCTTTTTTTCAAGCTTGAGTCAAACATTTTAATGTAAACATTAATAGCAAGAAATACTGACATTAGAGGCTGTCAAGGGGTCCGATGAAATATTTATACATCAACTTCAAAAATACCATCAAACACTGAACAATATGGAATAGCTAAACAGGTATTTTTTTATGACAAGCCAATGCACAAGCACCCGTATAGGATTTTAACAGCAGAGAAGATGTTTGACTACATGTGATCTCAATGGTTTTCCTGGCCCCTACAAGGCCATTTTTTAAACAAACTACAATACCATCCCAACTGATACACCTAAATAGGTAGGATGTTAACAGTCACAGGGATAATTATTTTTTAACTAGGACGCCTGGAAGATGTGGAGTCAAGGTCATCACCACTGTTTCGTATAAGACAAGACTATCAAACAACCTGTTTAAAAATCATCACTTTTATATAGCGTCTTTCACACACTAACAGTTTCCAGACAAAAACCATCAGAAATGTGGGTTCTGTGATGTTTTACACCAAATTGTTGAAACAATTACAAAGATTTCCAAATTCAATGATTCACTTTAGAAGGCTCTGTATGAATTAATTATGCTTCAACAGGACAGCATGAGATGGTATAACAAGGTAAGCAACACTACGTTTATTTTAAATCCAATCCTTGTTTCCTCACTAGAAAAGACAATTAAACTCTATTGATTACGTTGTACAACCAGTGTTTTTTGTAATTAAAAAAACTAGAGGCTGCAACACTCATTTCATCACAGAGTGGATGAGAGATCGGACTTCTGGCCAAAATTGTAGAAATGCTTGACTAAAGAGAATTGCTGAAGATATTCAACTTTTGATTTAATTTTGTAATTGTCACAAAGGATAGAAGCCAAAAAATTTTCAAGAGTCCAGTGACAAATAAGCAGTGTTTCTTACTAATATACATGTTTGTATACCTGTATGTATCTACACACAAATTTACATGTAATATAGTAGGTGGAATTTTCAGTGAATCTTCACTATTAGAAATAAAGCATTATACATTTGTGTTTTAGAGGAACAAGCTAACATATTAGGTACACCAAAGTATCAAAACTGGATCAAATTTGTACACCAAAGATATGAGAAAACAAAATTTTACATTTGCCTAAGAAGCTAAAATTAATTTAAAAAAAAAGTTCTGTTAAAAATCTTTTTAATAAATTAATGATAAGGTAAAGCATAATTATTAAATGTATTGTTTTAAATGTAGGCTACTCTCAAAGCTAACAGTGATTTTAATCAAGTGGATTTTATAAGCACACACACATTTTTTTTTTACATGGGTACATAAGGAAATTACCTTAGAAAACACAAGCAAATGTTGTTTGTGTTAGAGTAATGGATCTTGATTTTCATTTATGTAAGGTAACTCCATTTATTCCAGATGTTCAATTTTAATAAATTGTGTTTTTTTAACCAGTTCCAATATTTCTCTAACAGGCTAAAACAAAATCAAGTTTTCTATATTTAGAATATGTCAGAGCTAAATAAAATCTCTGAACTTAAACAAAAAGCCAAAACTGCAAAATTAGAATACAGGATTAAATAGGTTAAAATTTGTAATGACAAGTTTATTTTGGTAGTGTTGGTATACAAAGTCATTTATATGGTCCAAAGAAATGGACATGTTACAATGATCACTTCAATAGAAGTGATTGACATTATTAGATTAAAACATTGACTAATACACACAACTTTTCACCCCCCTATGCACAATAACTGGTTCTTCCATAGTTTTTGATTATCTTCTGGAACATACTTGAGGCAAGTCAATTGTGTATGAACACTTTACTAAAAGACAGGGAAAAACAAGCCGTTTGGAAAACAGTAAAGAAATAGAAATTTAAACACTTTGAAGACAGTAGATTTATCATAAGCACCAGTAATTCAACATCTTCCGGTGTGTGTGCATTGAAACCTAGGCTTGACTGCAGTAAACACTACATCACTAGGCAAGGTAGGGCATGTTGAAAATATGACACCAACTATAATTTTACAATTCTTTTTCAGTTCTCTCATATTCTGTAAACTTTTATATGAAAGCTAAACATAAATAACTTTTTTTGCTTGATGAAAGCAAAACAAAAAGCTCTAAAAGTTCACATCAAATTATAAGCCCCACCCCCATCTATACAAACTGGTTCTTAGCAAAATATTAAATAAAAATCTACATGAAAGAAAATACGGAAGCCGTCTGTTACGATGTGTCAACGAAAGGAATTATAACAAATAGACAAAGCATCTTTGGTGATTCTAGTTCAACCATCACAGGTTAGAGTTATCAAATCAAAGTAACAACTCATGTACCTTACTATGATCAACTTCAAAACCACTAAAGAAAAAAATGCCTTGATTAGAGTCAGGGCTGAACATGGCTAAAGGGAAAATTAAACCTGGGACTCTAGTTCTGAATCCCCTACTTCAATATAATCATTTTCAATGACAAAACAAAATGTGTATAAATATATAAATAAGTGTCTGGTCCAGCAACACAAACCAAACCGGGTACATCGATGCATTCGCCGTACTTTTCGCTATAACTCTACATCTGTATCAGTAATCAAGGGCTCTATTTCATGTTTTTTACCACCTACAGGGAAAACAATGTCAGAAAACTTATTTTAGACTGCTGTAAAGAATCCTCTTTATATTTAAACAAAGATGTGTACTAATAATGTAAACGTGACAATTACACACACATTTTAGAGAATTTTTTATTTAAAGTTAATTTAGTCTGTTAAAAATAAATGAACAATAATGGCTACCACAGTATGATGGCAATGGAGGTTTAAAATAGACAATGATATGATGAATTACCTGTTCCATCTTCTTGCATCTCAAAAGCAGCAGCAGCAGCAAGTTTCTGTTTCTTGGCTGCAGCAGAATGAGGATTCTCAGGCATAAAGGCAGCCACCAGCAGAGCCATGATGACAAGTACAGCCCCAAATGCAAATGGTGGTCCTGGAACCACACTCTGTAAACATGTGATTTTAGATTGTTAAAAAATATTTCAATGCTTCACATTGAATAAACAAGGGGGCAGACAGGTTTCAGCAAGCAAATAGATAGATATTCTTTTATTTGACACAGTAGAGGCTTAGACAAAGTTATAGCTTGGATAAAATTCAATACTGTTTTATTAAAGGAGTGTTAAAAAATGGTTTATTCTTAACAATGGTAAACACGTGACTGTGACAGTGGCATGTAAGTGGGAACAGGAGTGATGGTGAGGTGAAGGGATGGCAGGAACAGTGTTAGAATATGTTTGATTTCAAGTCTTTGAAAATGTCACATACATGTGTCAAATTTTATGTCCAATTTTAACTTAAATAACAATAAGGTATTAAAAAATCTGAAATGGAGTTAAATGGAATTTATGATTATGGCAAGTAAATTATTCTGTGCCAACACATGAATTCCACTATTATGTATTATGAAACAAAATAACAATACTGGGAACACTAAAACAGGTCAGCTAAAATAAGGTGAAAGTTACCTGAATGGCACTGTTCATTGTGCGATGTGACAGATTATCACTTTTGTCAGCTGCATCCAGCATTGCACTTTTCTCATTCAAGTCAACGTGGAACAAATAGAAAATAAAACCAAAAAGTGCAGGCCCCAACCCATTGCACAGACCTCTGATACCTGTTACAACACCTTGAGCAACACCTGCCAAACAACAAAACAATAACATTACATCACTGGTGTCTTGATAGGGAAAGATTATTCTACCATGGCATCTAGTTGTATTATAAGCTTGTATTCATGATATTATTGGTATAAGGGTATTAGTGTGAATAAAAAAGCATAATTTCAGTTAACACTAGCTATGACTTATATGGAATAAACAAAATAAAGAAACCAACCTTGTTGATCAGGACTGGCATGAGCTGACACAAATGAACTTATGGAGGGATAAGCTATACTAGACATGGCAGCCATTGTCCCTGCAAGCCAAATAATCCTGAAGGAGAGTAACAAAACAATTAATAATTGTCTAAACATTTAGTTCTACATACAAATTTAAAAAGCTATTTTCAAGGAAAACAATAGGTTAAAAAAATGTTTTTAAAAGAGTAAGCATTAAAAAGGAACTTTAAATATAATGTATTCTAACCATTCAGCTATTGGCTCTATTGTAAAAAAAAAAAAAGATTTTTATTTACCAATGTTGTGAAGCAAAGCCATAGCATGTCAACTGTATGATTTCAAACACTAAGCCGAACATAATTGTCTGCTTATGACCAATGTATTTCATAAGCAAAGCTAAAATCAAAGTCTGTAAAAAATGGAAGAATAGTTTTTAAAAAAAAGGAAAGAATATTTATTTTAGGATAATTTATATTTGTTTAAGTAAGTTGTTAAACCACAACTACCTCACTTCTACTAGAAGCTAAAAGAAACATGTTATATAATATACTAAACAAGAACAAGGGATTAAATATATAAAGTTGATGAATGAAAAATAATCTCGCATAGAGTGAGTTGGAAAGCTTGGAGGGATTATATAAGGAGACAACAGGTGCTATCAACTACTGATGTAATGAGATAATCTTACTTGTGCTAACACAGATAATACTCCAACCACTGCAATATATGAAGCCACTTCTTCTTTTGAAAAGTCCATAATCTGATAAATTAATTAAACAATGTAATGACCAGTATCTGCATTGTAATAATATTGTAAATATGAGTTACTCCCCTTGTAGAAACCTGTAAATGAATGTGGGTAAGAGAATCTGCTGCTAGTTGTTTAGTTATAAGTTTCTTATAAGTCAAATAATCAAATATCTGTGTTTGTTTACCATTTAATAATTGGCCTCAAACACACTGCAAACAAATGTAATAAAAAACAGTCATAGAAGTAGGCCTTCTCAAGTGATTTAAAAAAAAATCTTAACAAATAGTCATACTCATATAAAATAATTATCTAAATTTCAAAAAGTAAATCAATTTTGCTTACACATTTACTAAAATACTGTCAATAGTAATAATCTAAAGATATCCAATAAAAATAACTGGAGAAATGAAATAGAAACATACCAGTCTTAGATATACAAATATAGAGGAATATTCTCCTGCTTCTGGCAAGTAGGAGAGGAATACTGTTACACACAACAGAAGGATTAACAAATCTTGACCAACTTTCTTCAGTGCCTACAGTTAACACAGAATGCATTTAATTAATCAATTAAATTTTGTTTTTAAACTTTTAGTAAATATATATTACAATGTACTATCTAAGATAAAATACATAGCATTAAAAATAAGACAAGTTTAAGAGCATGTTTATAGTTTACACTATAAATGTAATAAAATGTAATCAAATAATGCCTTACACCAAAGGGATCTGCCTTCTCCCAGGAGATCTGAGAGCCCCAGCTGGCTGGGCGCAGTTTTTCTGGCAGGGACTCTGGAACAAGCACTAAGATGAAAAGTACATCTAAGATTGCTATGGATGAGGCTAGCCAGATGACCAAATTTTCACTGTACATATCTTGTAGAAATGCTCCAATTGCTGGACTGGTAACAAGACTAGCTGCAAATGTTGCTGAAACCTAGAGCAGAAAAAAATGATCAAGGTAAATTTGAAATTTTAAAGAGTACCACTCCAAGTGTAGGTACTGTAGGGGTAAATCAAACATAAGAATAAACAAACAACTTTACTTACCAAGCCATAGGCTGAGCTACGTTCATCCTCTGTTGTGACATCAGCCACATAAGCAAAAACAACACTAAACGTTACAGAAAACACTCCTGATATTGAAAGCATAGCAAAATACCACCTGAAGAAAAATAGAATATTATTAATAATTATATGAACCTGTCTACATTTTTAATGCGTTAAAACTGATTGTATTAATTTATTTTTAGATAAAGTTAGATAAAGCATTAATGTAGAGCTTATGACTGCAAGTCTGAAAGTATGGAGTTTGGATACCATCTAGAGTCTGTAAGATGACCCTGAGATGACCCAGCTCTGATGGGTACCTCATTCAAGCTAGGGATACTAAGGCTGCTGGGCATGGTGCTGACCACACTACACCCCTGTATGCCAGGGTTATTGAAACAGATGAACTCTACTTCATTTTTTTTGGAAACTCATGTTACAATTATCAATTTGAGGAAGCTACTTCATGTTTGTATTTTGTTTGAATAGGTCAGTGTTGGGGTCAGAGTTCACCAGGGTCAAGCACCAAATTGTGAGAGCTCCTGCATATTGGTTAAAGTGTTAAATGGGTGTCTGATGGTAAGTGTAGAGTTGTGGTCTCATATACTGCCAAGCTATACTGTTAATTTCTTCACAATAACTATAGCACTCTACTTTTGTCACAGAGGTGCATTATAATACCATGTTTTATACCACTATAACACTTGTGAGATATCAACTAATGTATTAAGCTTTTCTCATTAAAAAAGAGAAGACAAATTATTGGAAAAAAAAAATTGTCAAGTTATAACTAGCTAAACTGTCATGTCATCAATTATTTTTCAGATTTACAACCCCAAAGATCTGAAATTCTCTAGTCCAGCAACACCTGCTCAAATGTGGACCTGAACTTCATAGTAAGAATAAAGCATTAAATCAATACCATCACAATGCAGCTTTATTATTCTCTCAATAACCAAACTATGGTGATGTGAGTAAATGGAAGTAAATAAGGTTACCATGGACTTAACCTCATCAGAGGTATTGGAGCACAGGTGAAGCCCACAGTGAGGAGCAAAAATGGCTTGCGTCCCCATACATCAGAGAGGGCCCCAATCAGTGGTGCACTTAGGAAGGATAAAAGACCCTGAGAACAGAGAGAGAGTAAAGTACAGTGCATCAGCAAGTGCAGTGCTACTTTTTTTTATTGACAGCACACGTAAACATGTTTTAACAAACACAATAAGTTTTAAAGGTGATTAGCGATAATGCCTGTTTATAACTGTAAATTGCAAGGTTTCTCTTGTAGTGGGTGATTATTGTTAGTAGACAAACTTAATGCATAGCTTAAATGATTAAAAAACCAGATGAAAAGTAGATTTTTTAAAGCAGATATACAGGATTGGACAGACAGACAGACACTGATGATTCAGATCATCAAGGTACAGTGACACTGTTTCATTTGCTTAATGGTTGCCTTGGGGCATAGGACATCTAAATTATTCAACAGAGAAAAATATTGTGACAAATTTTTCCCAGTACACATGTAAGAATTAAAAAGACATTTTCCAATCGCTTTGTTCTAAAACCAACACTATTTTAAAAGTTAAATATTTTAATCTTTACATTTTTTTCTGCTACTTTACAGTAGGAAAATAATGTTCAGAATATAAAAATGTCAAAATATAATGAATAACTAGACTGTAAAAAGAAGTATGTTAATTGCTGTTATAACAAAAGATACTAAAGACTGACTTATGTGGGTCATAATTATTTTCTTTGTTCATTTTTCCCTAAGTTTTTAAATTTACTCTAAGCCAACAAGTAAGGGAACCAAATATCCAGAACAAAAAGTTGTTGAACCTATTTAAACAATTTGAAAACACCTTTTTGAAAGGTATTAAACTTGATAAGATAAAAGAACAGGATAACTTTTTATCAGTGTATTTATATAAAATTAATAAAACAGTGTTAACATGTGCAATAGAAGGAAAAAAAAAAAAAAAAAAAATATCAGTCAAATTGCCAATAAAGGCAATCAATAATTCTAAACCTGTTACAAGAAATGCACCGTGCACACACTTTGTTGCCATGGTATGTTGACAGTAATAAAGTTATGCTTACAATAAATCTAATGATGTACTGAGATATAAGTGCTTACCTTGACACCTTGAATAAGACCATTAAACAGAAAGGTGTGCTTAGGAAAAGTGTCATTTAAAACCTGAAAGAAATTGGTAAATTTTGTTGAATACTGATAAAATATTCTAATTATAAGACAATGCCTTGCACTTTCCCTAGTAAAACTATGTAGTTCACAATGAAAAAACAAAATAAAAATAAAAAACACAACATAACATATTAGAATTTTAATAAAAAAATAAATTTTAAAGTAGTTTTTAAATTATTACAAAAAATTATTTCAGACTCACACTTATTATTGGAGATGTTAGCAGGCCCCAGGCAAAAAATTCCAAGAAAATGATAACCAATGCATGATATATGCTTGCTTGTCCCAGCCCAGACTGAAATAAACGTTTTTAAAATGATAGTGGCATCCATTATTTTAAAAAACAAAACACAATTAAGACAATATTTGGAATTGAAGTAAAAAATTACTAACTACATAGTAAGAATTAAATGGTTTAAAACAGGATCAGAATAGATTGTAAACATAGTGAGCTATTATGTGATGCGTGATTTTCTTGCCATAAATAAAAAAAGCAACAATTTCCTGAGACAGAATGAGTGTTTGTTTTAATTATCGCTATAGCCCGGCATCCAAAAATGCTAAAATGGTAGCAGTAATACTTCAAGAGATAAAATCTGCTGTTTAATGTTAATTGTAATACTTTGCACCATATACTTGAGGCTACTGATGATTTGGTAACTACTTTTCTTTTTTTTGTTGAAAATTTCTAAAATAATTTTCAAGGCCATAGTGTAACTCAAATGTGAAAAATAACAAAAAAACAAAATAACTATTATTAACAAGGTAGTTTTAAATGTTCAGTTTTGAGACTTATTGTAATACCCAATACTAATGTGTTAATGTCTAGTAGTAAGCAAAAAATCAGAACCATTTAAAAGCTATCTTAAGGTAATATATAACACTATATCTTGAGAAAAAACAACAGATTTTTTAAAAATTTGGTATTTCATGCCTAACATAATTTGAAGGAAATTGCATTAGTTAATGGTAACCCAATTCATTCAATATATTTCAGCTGAAGTTTGCTTTTCTTATCTTCCTTATCTGTGGTAAATAGTTGGGCAATAGCTCTGGACTCAGAAAAATAAATCAGCAAGATAAGATTGGTAGGCCTACAGGTGAAACTATCACATTTCAAGGTATTTCATAACCAACAACAGGAAAGTCATAATAGCCCATTCAGAAAATGTACCCTCAAATACAAGTTTGTGTACTTAAATAAGTACACTAAACAGTTAAAAGGATGGGTCAATGCTTAAAATGGCATTGGAATCCAATGGGCAGGAAAGCAATGATTTTAAAAACATAAAATTTAACAAAGGTTTTTATAAAATAAGGTCAGTATAAGTTTATCACAAATCTATTAGAAGAAAACAACAGCAACCTGGGACCAACAGATTGAGCAAGTTTGTAAAATAGTGTGAAACTAATGGGAGCACCCTGAACAAATGCTTATATTATTGGACATAAGAGCCCAGCTGTTACTCCATCTAATAACACAGTAAACCAGTATTCAGGCTTATTGCAGGCTTTATTATTTTGGTCAGGCAGTGACACATAAAATATATTGATTGTGTCTTATGAATATGGTTTATGCTGCTGTTAAAAAAAAATATTCTTTCAACAAGGGAAATCAGTTGGAAATAAAACAATAAAAACTTAAAATAAACTAAAAAGGATGTAAATCTAGGTAGGGCCTACATAAAGAGAAACATATTAGTTTTTAAAAAGTAAACTTAAAGAAGTATTCATAATTCTGATCTGAGTTTCTTTCAGACATTTTTCTCCAGGACATTGGTTAAAGTATAAATTATATATTTTTTTCTATTTTGGTAGGGGTGGAGGTAAGGAGAGATGACTGAAAGAGACTCTGATTCTAATAAATTATGTTAATATGTAGAAATGTAAGCTGTACTTAATTATTAGTTACATAAATCTACACACAGATAGTTACCAACTACTAAATAATATTATAAAAATTATTTGAAAAACCAAAAATAATCACCCTAAAATCTGTATTCTCCTATCCCCTAAAATTTCACCCCCTACCTTCTTAACTGTCAGTATCTAAGTGACCTACATTTTTGTACAATCAAAATACATAAAACAACACTATCACTACACATTTAAAAAAACTTCAAAAAATTAAAGCACAAAATTAACTTTTTTAAAGTCAAAAGAATGCACATTCAAACTTTAAACCCAAATGCATTGGTTTTAGTTAGTACATAAGCCAAAAAAAAATTCTGGTGATTTGAACCCAATAAAATATAATGAATTGTATAAAAATTACATAGGTATCAATTTAAAAAAAAAAGAGGTGGATTTATATACTGAGAGGACATGACTCAACACCAAAGTTAACAGCTGATACGAAGATATACTACAGAAGCAATTTCATTTGCTGTGCGGGACCCAGTTCTTGCTCTCAGCTGAGTGTTATACAAAGATATTAACAGAAGCACACTCATATGCAGTGTGGGACCCAGTTCTTGCTCTCAGCTGAGTGTTATACAAAGATATTAACAGAAGCACACTCATATGCAGTGTGGGACCCAGTTCTTGCTCTCAGCTGAGTGTTATACAAAGATATTAACAGAAGCACACTCATATTCTGTGTGGGACCCAGTTCTTGCTCTCAGCTGAGTGTTATACAAAGATATTAACAGAAGCACACTCATATTCTGTGTGGGACCCAGTTCTTGCTCTCAGCTGAGTGTTATACAAAGATATTAACAGAAGCACACTCATATTCTGTGTGGGACCCAGTTCTTGCTCTCAGCTGAGTGTTATACAAAGATATTAACAGAAGCACATTCATATGCTGTGTAGGACCGAGTTTTTGCTCTCAGCTGAGTGTCATGATACAAAGATATTAACAGAAGCACACTCATATGCAGTGTGGGACCCAGTTCTTGCTCTCAGCTGAGTGTTATACAAAGATATTAACAGAAGCACACTCATATTCTGTGTGGGACCCAGATTTTGCTTTCAGGTGAGTGTCGTGATACAAAGATAAACAACAGAAGAACACTCATATGCTGTGGGGGACCCAGTTTTTTTGTACCCAGCTGAGTGACAACATTAGACTTGGTCCATAACACTGAAATTTGATAATGCTTTTATGCCCAGTAACTTGGTACATGAATAACATATTTGCAGTATGACAAACAATTGAAAAAGATACTCCTTTAAAATTGTTAATTTTAAAAATATACTGTTAATTATAGTGGGAAGGTGGATAGAAAATAAGCAGTTATAATATATGAGAGAAAAATAGAATGGGAACAACTGCTATAATACCTTAATTTAGAAAATACAAATCAACTCAAGAAATTTCATAAATGTAGGAGAAATAACTTTCAAGAAAGGAAATTTATTAAAAATGTGCTTGTCTAGGCTACACACATTAAGAACCAAGGAAAAGTGTATATTAGTTATTGTAGTTGTTTGCTTTTATACCAAAGTTTTGACCCAGCTTCATAACATTGAAAATTTTCAAATCATCTTCTAGTAAGAGCATACCACATGTATATGCATTTCTAAATTTTAACTAATGTAGAAATAAATATTCAGACAATTTATGCAACAGTATACAAAAAAGATAATTGTATCCTCAGCTCATCATTAAATATTGCGATGTTTTAAAGAAGCATCACGAATATCTGGTACTTCGTGTATAATAGATATGGATAATTAGTCAAGTATGCAGAACAATGGAAAAGTAGGAAATCATTTATCAGTTATTTCAATGCAACATGACTTAGAAATGTAGACTTACACAGTAGACATTCAGATGTTACATCACAACAACACTTAACAGACCAAGTACTGATTGTAAATAAGCTAAAACATGCAATTGCAATATTAACTCCAATTTAACAATATAAAAAAAAACTATCAGCAACCAGCTAAAAAAACACCCTTAATTTGGATCACAGCAAATCATTTTTAATGTCAAAATCTGTGACATTTAATAAATTTTAAAATCTTTTTTCTCTATCAGTGGCAATATAAAATTATTATAAACATTAAGATGATACGTTGCTGCAATCCAAAACTACATTTGTTTGTGGTTAACTAATGTTAACCCTCAATCATACCTGTTTATCTTTTTCACCCTATGTAAATAAAAACAAAACATCCATTAATGATATACAAGTCAGGGAAATGAACATAAAGCATAAATGTTGGCTAGAACTACTGGAGTGTAAGTAAAGATGAGTAATGATAATTATTTTTATTAACTGGAGTATAGTAAATCACACAACAGACATTGGAAAATGGTTCACCTATTTGAGTGTTTGGAAATTATATAATCCAAAATGCAAATAAACTCTAAAACTTTTCTAGTTTTCATCATTGAAAAAATAGCAACTAAACAACTAAAAACATGCGAGTGCAAAACAACTTGTTTTAATCTTGGAGGATCACTATAATGACAAATGTCTGGCTATATAAATGAACTACTATGGGTTTCCATGTTTACAGCTTTAAAACACCCTTCTTTAATGGATTTGTAAGAAAGGATATTATGTAATGGGTTATTAAACTAATTAGCCAATGTTACAACTATCTGGCCTTTCTGAGTAATATCAGGCAAATTGAACAATGGTTAGATTATGTTTTTTTTTTAAGTAACACAACACAAAAGAGTTTGTAATTTATACAAATAACAAATTTATTTTTTACAACTTCAGCCACAAAAAGGCCAATAACATGAAACTAAAGCCACACAATCTAGAAATGTTACAACATCATTATTGTTCTTAACTGATAACAACAATTGTGCCAAACTACTGAAAAGCACACCTTTCTCTCTATAATTATATGAAATGTTATTGCTATTAAAGGCAACCAGAAAATGGTATCTAAATGATCAAAGCGAGGATGTGAGATCTAGGAATAGTAAAGTTTAGGTTAGAAGATGCTTATTAGCAATGTTACAGGAAATTACAGCCAGAATTGAGAAGTATCAGAAAAGGGAACAGAAAAACAACAACAAAAGTTTTTCTAACGAAAATATTGCTACAACGAAACATATTCTATTGATTTATCTCATCTGCTATAATGATTGCAAGGTTGTGACACTACCTTATATATGCCACTGGGTATATCTAGCATAATAGTAACCTTTTATTGTGTTAGAAAAAAAAAACAGAAACTAGTAAGTTTGCTTATTATATCAGGATAGTTATCTTTATCAAAATGATTATAAGTTAAATATAAGTATAATCAGTGAAATTCCATACAATTACACACTGGAGAGAACTGAAGACAGAGTAGCATTAGCAAATGTGTTGCAGTGTAAAAATGACTGCCTCACTACAACTAGCTTTGTGAACAGTCAATTTGACTTGTGTTTGGGAATAAAATTATACGAATTAATCTAACTAATGTGAAATAAATTATTGAATTGTTTATCAACATCCAAATCAGAAAGAAAGATAGTAGGCCTAACCAAATATAAAAATGGCAACCTATTCTAATTTGAATTACTAGTCCATTATTCTATTCTAAAGGCTATAGTTATGGCAAATAATGGAATCTTCTTGATAAGGGGGTGTTAAGGTTACTGTTAGTAAACTAAACACTATACATAAGCGTAACTTGCTAAAATGTCAATGCAATCCCTAAGCAACAGTGTTTCTTCCAGGCATCTCTTTGGGGTAGGGTTCTGTGAAGAGTCTACCACCCCCCACCCAAATGAAATTTATATAGAAAATATATGCTTTTAACAGTGTGTCGTCGTCCCCCCCCCCTCCCAGGAAGAATAAAGTTTGGAAGAAACACTGCTACCCAAGCTAGTCTATCATGGTCTTAAAAAATACATTTGGGGTATTGGTATTACTGATGCCAGAAATAGTTGTGAGTTTGTTCACATCATTACTATATCCTGTTAATGTATAGTTTATCTGTTTCCTGTTAATGTATAGTTTATCTGTTTACGGTTAAATGATGTTGACATACACAAGGTGATAGTGTTCTCAGCACTAAGACGCCTTTGTTTATTGCTTTGGTAAGGATTATTGTAAGACTTAAACAATTAGTGATAGTGTTACCATTGGCTTTATTAGCGAGTCATATTTGGGTAAACATTTAGAGTATCAGTATTTAGTTAGGCCTAACTACCAGTAATTTTACACACACCCCTCTCCCTTTATAAAAGATTCCATTATTATTGCATTATCCGACACTGGTATAATAATAAGACAGATTAAATTTATTTAAATTAGGCCGAGACCTACTAAATTCTAATCCTAACAAACAATGAGATGGAAAGATTTGGTAAATTGTAAAATAAAATAAACCTGCTGCAGGCCTATGTATTTTGTATATAAATAAATAAGATTTTATAACCTAACCTGAAAGTAGAAAGATTAAGAATAGACTTGAATAGTTAGCAGTCAGTAGAGTGACTAACACACATCCAATCATTGAGCCAATGTCAAAAGAGTAGTTCTGGGCACTGTTCTGGGCACAGCTTCGAGATCAACAGGCGGGCTTTAGGAAGGAAAGGTCATGCATAGACCAAATTGCTACCCTGCGCATCATCATTGAACAGGCCCAAGAGTGGAACTCATCTCTCTATATTAATTTCATAGACTATGAGAAGGCCTTTGATAGCCTGGATAGGCAGTCAATGTGGAAATTGTTGAGACACTACGGGGTGCCACAGAAAATAGTCAACATTATTATGTCTTCATATGAAGGTCTCAAGTGTAGAGTAGTGCATGGCCAACAGACTACAGAGGCCTTCCCAGTACGGACCGGAGTAAGGCAGGGTTGCCTACTTTCACCATTCCTGTTCCTACTGGCCATAGACTGGGTTATGAAGATGTCAACAGAGAAAACGCGAAACGGTATACAGTGGACATTGTGGAGCCAGCTGGATGACCTGGACTTTGCTGACGACCTGGCCCTCCTTTCTCACACACAACAGCAAATGCAGGATAAAACCAACAGGGTTGCAAATTTTTCTACAAGCCTGGGTCTGAACATCCACAGAGGGAAAAGTAAAGTTCTCAAAGTCAATGCATCAAACAACAACCCTATAACACTGGCAGAAGAAGCCCTAGAAGAAGTGGATAGATTCACCTACCTTGGAAGTATTGTTGATAAGCAGGGTGGGACAGAAGCAGACATAAAAATAAGGACGGGTAAGGCAAGAGCAGTCTTCAACCAACTAAAAAATGTTTGGGGTTCGGGAGATTTAACCCTTAGAATAAAAATCCGGATCTTCAACACACTAGTAAAACCTGTTTTACTCTATGGAGCTGAGACATGGAGAATAACTGCTATAAATAAGAAGAAAATACAATCATTTATAAACGCATGTCTCAGAAAGATCCTGCGAATTCGCTGGCCTAAAACCATCAGAAATGATGTTCTATGGCAACGGACAAATCAACTGCCAGTGGAAGTAGAGATCCTCCAGAGAAAATGGAAATGGATTGGCCACACACTCAGGAAGCCTGTATCCAGCATAACAAGACAGGCCCTCACCTGGAATCCACAAGGCAGGAGGAAGAGAGGCAGACCAAGAAAGACCTGGAGACGTGACCTGGAAGAAGACACCAAGAAGATTGGATACACCTGGGGACAGTTGGAGAGACTAGCCCTGGACAGAGACGTCTGGAAAGCTCTTGTCAGCGGCCTATGTCCCAGTAGGGACGACAGGCAAACATGATGGGGCACTGTTATTGCTGGTGGCGTCAAAACTCAGCTTAACATTCGATTTATATTAATCCTAGTCAAGACATAGGCCTACATACATACTACACTACATACTGTTTTAGGTAAAACTCCATTTTAGCGTATTTTATTTCCCGCTTCACCTCCAGTTGAGCGTATTTTATTATAAACACAACCGAAACACACAAAAACGTTAGGAAAACACTAGATCTACCTATTTTTTTATGATTGTGATTTTTAATTAGAAAAGGTAAAAAAAACCATAAAATAGCATTAGAACTTAATAGAACTGTTCCAATTAAATATCGTGTGATCGTCTGCGGGAGAAAAATCCTTACACGGTCGCGGGTTCACCGTGAGTTCACATTGACTTTATCAGCATACGTCATAGCTCGGGCAATAGCTGTTTGAAATTGTGTTGGCCTCAGTTTTGGGGTCATTGTAAGTTCATTAATGTTTATTTATAGTATCATGCCTGGGAGATACTTGTAACAATAAAAACTTAACCGCCTTGCAATTGTGAGTTATGTTTACGTACTTCACCCATTGCCATGAATATTCTAACTGACACACGAACATTACACATTCAATATTCTAAATTTGGATTTTTCTCAAATTTTGATAAAAGTAAAATTATCAAAATCTAAAACAAAGTCAGTCTCTTTGTTTTTTTTATTCATTTGTTAAAACAAAAATACAATACAAATAAATAAATCGTGTTTTCCCAATGTTTTGGTGTGTTTCCGTTGTTATAATAAAATACGCTCAACTGGACGTAAACAAGAAGCGGAGAATAAAATACGCTAAAATGGAGTTTTACCCTGTTTTAAGTAGATTTCTATTTCTAAAGCCAATGGTAGTGTGTTAGACAGTGTACTGTTAGTGTAGGCCTAACGCCTAACACCATCACTCATTCACATTCACCTTGACGGATTTTATTAGATTTACTGTTTAGTCTTCTATCTAGATCTAGATATAATCTGTAGATCTAGATCCACTTCTTTTCACATGCTTACACACAGGCCTTAACTCTGTGAGAGTGAACAGATGAGACCGTGTGTGAGTGAGTGAACTCGTTTCCAAATCAAATTTAATCAAACACTTGACTTACCTCTTCTGAATCTTTTGGATAGCCTTTTTTGGACCAGATGATATTACCAATAATCCTTTTTCTCTTCTTACCCATCATCGCGCATACTATTTGAGATGAAACACTAGTTTAAATGAAAGTTCACTTTACTCTAAACACAAAACATATTTCATGATCTCTTGACAAATACGGTCTTGCTATAGAAAAATTACACTGCATTTAAATGCCAGATAAGCACTCAATAATTTGTAAATTCCTTTAACGCTGTATAGTGTATAGGACAACAATCATTAAAATACCAATAAACTTAATAATGCCTACGTTAAACTATAGAATATCATAACACTTGTATGTAACAGATAATAAGAAAATGAATTACAAGTTACGGAACTTTTTCACAATATTTTGGCCGTGGTAAATTAAAATTGGGCAGTATGTTTATCTAAACATCCTTCACCCCGTTTTATACCGGATATGACAATATCGCAGCAAATAACTAGACTATGGACGATAGGCTAGACTACATAACAAATAAATCTAGGCCTACTAGGTCTAGGCCTAAGTAGGGGAGTTTCCTATAAGGAAATTACTACAAGTAATATTCTAAATATAGAAAATAAACAATAAACAACAACATCAATGACAATATTCTTATTATATGGTTGCATATATATATATATACATATATATATATATATATATAGGCCTATATATATATATATATATAGGCCTATATATATATATATATATATATATATATATATATATATATATATATATATATATATAGATCTATATATATATCTTTTGCTCTAGTAATCAATACATTATTTTATACCTATGGCTAGAATCAACAAGTGTGATATCTACCCGCATTAGCTACATAAATTTAAGTACAGTCACACACACAACATCAACAAGAAAGCTATAGTTAGCATGTAAAGTGCATTGACAATGACAGTTATTGTAACTGCTATAGGCCCAGGGGCGGATTAAGCTTGGGCGAGGCCCCGGGCTGAAACTTTTTGGGGGCCCCTGATTATATATATATATATATATATATATATATATATATATATATATATATATATATATATATATATATATATATATATATATATATATATATATATCCTAATCAGCATACCATTCAAGATATTAATGGATTATTTATAACTTATAGGAACATTCGACACCGATATTTACAAAACTGCTAATTTAAAAAGCTGTCAATTGTGTTCAATGAGCGGTAAATTGGATACAAACATCTAACCTTCTTCTTCTTCTCTTCTTCTTCGTTCTTAATTTTAGTATTGGAAGGGATCCCCTTAGGTTAGGCGCCATTGAGACCATTGACTCTGATTTCAGCCTGCTTTTCTTTTTACTTTCTCGTATATACGAAGTATAGAGAACGTCTTGTAATCGTGCAAAAAAAAATCGAGATTTTTGCAAATCTCGACGTTTTACACCTCACTGATACGGAAAAACATAAATTTGTATCTGTGTGTGTGTAAACACGATAACTTGAGTACCGTTACAGCTAGGTTGATGAAATTTTATATATAAGTATTGTATCAAAATCGTAGATCCCTATCAACTTTTGAGAGATTTCCGACAACCGGAAGTGGTACTTTTTCTACTTTGAATTTTTCAAAAGCCTATAACTTGAGTACTATTTCAGATAGATAAATGAATATTTGAGATACAAGTAAAAGATATAAATTTTAATTATGAAATAACACACGGGAACAACTACGTTTGCCTTCGTTCAAAACTACGCTATGATAAAATAAAACTGCTGTTACCAGATCAAACTAATAAAATCTCAATGTTCATGTGCTATAGATGGAACAGAACACATTCAACTGTAAATGTTGGTAATGCTCAACTCATCACTGTAATACAAACTGGGATGCATACCATGAGTCCAGGGACAATGGGCAGGATTCAGTGCACTTTTATCTCAAGTCATGTGGAATGATTCATTATTTGTTGAAATAGAAGCATGTCGAACAGGCAAGGTATTAACTATTGCATTCAAATTATAGCAAACCAAAATGGCTATCTGTTTGCTAATATTAAAACTGAAACAAAATAACCTGCTCACAGTTAAACATTGTGCCACTTAAATCAAGACTATCGTACCTCGATTAACGAACGCCCCAACTTCTACTTTAGGCAATCACTTTTATTTTATTTTTACTTTCTCGTATATACGAAGTATAGAGAAAGTCTTGTAATCGTGAAAAAAAAGGATGTGTACAAATCTCGACGTTTTACACCTCACTGATACGGAAAAACATAATTTTGCAATCTTGTCCGTATGTCTGTGTGTCTTATTTTATCAACATCGTAGATCCCTATCAACTTTTGAGCGATTTCCGATAACCGGAAGTGGTACTTTTTCTACTTTTCATTTTTCAAAAGCCTATAACTTGAGTACTATTTCAGATAGATAAATGAAATTTCACATGTAAGTAAAAGATCTAATTCTCTACCTTCTGTTAAATTTTGAGTAATTTCCGTTGACGGGAAGTACTAATTTACGCTATTTCCGATTTCTCAAAAACGCATCTAAATTTATAAAGTACTAATAATATTGCACACCATTATGAACATCTTTATTCGGCGTTCGCTTGGTGTGCATTTCTTTTTTCTACGAGATTATGTTCTATCTTAAAAAATTTGAGTATTTAAAATTTATTAAAAATCATGTCTAGAAGTCTATATCCCGAGTTGCCATCCCCCGTAGTGTTATATTAGAATATTCGAGAAAGTTTAGGGGAGATCACTCCCGGTTTATTCTACGAGATGTTATTCTATTTTAAAAACTTTAAGTATTTAAAATGGAGTTCCCATCCCCTGTTGTTTTATATAAGAATATTCGAGAAAGTTTAGCGGAGATCACTCCCGGTTTATTTTAATTTGTTTCCATAGCCTTTGCCCAACCAAGAACAAACTACAGCAGATGTTTGATTTTGGAGTTGTCTCTCCTAGAAGAATGGCTATCCCCAGCTAACGAGCCTCATCTGCCTGAGGATTTGAACTCGAGACATTTCGGTTAAGCATCCACGAGCTTTACCGACTCGACCACGCCGATCCCCTAACATCTAACCAATATGTACTCATTTTTAGCATGATTATATGTTGTCCCCACCCTCTACCACGACACACACACTAACAAAACACAGACGAGATCTATCCGCTACGTCAGTAGCACTAAATACATGACTGTTAAGTTTAGGCCTGTAGAAGTTTCCGACCTCTGCCCCGCGATCTAGCCGGGTACCAGACGGTAAGACGATGTCCTGCGTCTGGTGGTGGGGGAAGTAAAGCCTGGATAGAGCCTACGGATGGATAAGCGACCATCATGTAGTGTTTCAAACCAACATCTCAGTGAGACTGATTCAGTCCACAATTGGCCATTTAGTTGAAGTTCACTACGTCGAGACCTCCCTTGCTAATGGGAGTCAAACTCCTGAGCCTGTAGGCCTATATCCGTGTCATAATAGTTATTGAACTGTAATTCAAGTATTTATATTGGGCATGAAAAAGCTGGAAATGCAGACTAACATTGAACAAATAAAAATATCCATGAGAATATTATAATGTCGTTACAGAGCAGACGATAAAGACTGTTGGCACTTGTTTGATTACAGACGCAAAAAGAAAACAAAGAATATCAAACCACATTATGTAGGAAATTATCAATAACATACAGGGGTTAAACTAAAACAGTAAGCACGGTATTAGCGTAAAAAAACAACCACACCTCCATCCTCTTAGGTGTCATCCATTTATGAGGCCCACAAAAAGTTGGATTTCCACTGGCGTCCATTTAAAGAACGTCATCCCTGGCCTGTAAACCCGATATTAACTTTCACTAAAAGTAAAGGCCTATACATGTTTTTAAAAGTTTAAATCATACAATATTCACACCAGATGCATGTCATTTATGTGTCAGAATTCGACCGCTGTTTTTGTTTTTAATTCTAAAATCAACCCAATTTATTGTGATAAGCAAACGCTGTCCGGGCGGGTATTTATACTAAAGTGTGTGCTCGAGTTTGATATTTTGATAAAAAATTGAAATAAACTTGTCATTCAAATATTAAAACATTGGGTTTTATAGTAAAAAAAAAACAAAAAACAAGAACCCAAAGATTTCACTTTAAAGGGAAATTTACTATGATTGAAAAAGGAAATTTGGGGGCCCCTAAAAATCGGGGGCCCCTGGCTGCAGCCCCCTCAGCACCCCCCTTAATCCGCCCATGCATAGGCCTACTACAGTTGCACTTTTAAAGTAATTACAGGTTATATCAAATTGCTCTCTGTTTCCTTTCTTATCTCTCCCCTACCCACATGCTGAAAACAGTTTCTTCCAGGCATCTCTGCCCCCCCCCCCCGAAGAAAGTCTACCGCCCCCTCCCCCCCCCCGAACGAGATGGATTTTATATAGTGAACATACACTTTTACTAGTGTCCGCCCCCCCCCCCCCCCGAAAAACGTTGACCCCCCACCCCCCGAAAATTTCAAAAGCCTCCCCCCCCCCCCCGAGAAAAAAGTCTGGAAGAAACACTGCAAGCAACTACTAAATTTCTAAATTTCACCAAAAAAAAAAAAACAACGAAAAAGAAAAAACATCTGGGATATCTTGATTTTGCAGATTGCATTTCATAAACAACAACATGTTCCAACTAAACCGAATCGACTATCTGAAGAAGCCTCTAGAGTAGGAGGGGTGGGCAGTTTACATGAAGCAACATAATTATTATTGGCCACTTTATAAAAATAAAAAAATAAGATGCACATATTTTAGCATTGCATTCTATTATTGTGTTATTGCATTTTAGTTACGTTTTTATTTTATTTTTAAAGAGAGGGCGAGTAAAACAACATAGGGAGGGGGGCGGGGTGTGAGGTGTGATGATAAGGTTTGTGGTGATGGCGGTAAACATCACTTGAAATAGCGTGACTTTATTTATAGACCAGCTTTAGGGCAGACTTCACGGCGAGCTGACTACAGTAATGTCCCATTCATAGTTCCAAGCAGGCAATGCGTGACGAATCGATTTTGAGCGGTTTGTTTCAAAATAAAGAATGGTCTGTGATACTGCATTTTAAAACTGGATCGGTCTTCCTCCTTTAAACTTAAAACTTATAACATTATCAAGTTTAAGCATCAACGTCAGTTTGTTGCCTCGAAATAGGTTATGTTTCTAGTCTCACCCCCTCGGAAGTTACAAGTGCCCCTTCCCTCGGAAAAAAACGTCTGAAAGAAACCCTAGTAGACGGTATAGTGTCCCCCCCCCCTTCCAAAATTTCAAGTTTCCCCCACCCCGGAGAAAGAAATCCTGGTAGGAGGTGCCGTTTATTTTTGTTTAAAACAAACTACGAACTAATTTAACTATATCGATTATGGTGAATAAAATTCAATGAAAATGTTAATTTAAATTTCTCAGCGCAAC